GCAGGGAAGTGTCCTTTGGGCCCCTGCCTCTTCCTCATATACATCAATGATCTTCCAAACGTATCTCAACACCTGAACCCCATTCTCTTTGCTGACGACATGACTTATGTCATCTCTCACCCTAATCTGGCCACCCTCAACACCATTGTTAATGAGATGATCAAAATATCGACTTGGATGACAGCCAATAAACTTACGCTTAACACTGACAAAACCTACTACATTATGTTTGGTAGCAGAGCAGGAGATGCACAAATTAACATTAAGATCGACAACACTCTAATTGCCAGGCATAATGAGGGCAAATTCCTAGGCCTATACCTTGACAACAACCTGAACTTCAGCACCCATATCCAACACATAACCAAAAAAGTATCCAAAACGGTTGGGATCCTCTCCAAGATATGATACTACGTGCCGCAAACTGCCCTTCTCACACTATACCATTCACTTATATATCCATACCTCACCTATGCTATCTGTGCTTGGGGTTCAACTGCAGCAACACACCTAAAGCCAATAATAACCCAACAAAAAGCCGCAGTAAGAATAACCACTAAATCCCATCCCTGGCAACACCCCTCCCTCCCCCCACTCTTCATAGATCTAAACTTACTCCCTGTTCAGTACATCCACACTTACTACTGTGCAATCTACATCTACAGGACCTTAAATTCCAATATTAACCTTGACCTAAAATGCTTTCTTGATAGTTGTGACAGAACCCACAGGCACAACACCAGACACAAACTATGACATTCCCCGTGTCCGACTAAACCTTTACAAAAATTCAGTGTATGTCAAAGGCCCTAAAATCTGGAACACCGTACCTGAAAATTCTAAAACTGCAGACACATTCATCACCTTCAAAACTACCATCAGAAAACATCTTATCTCCCTGATACACCTTGTCAACTAATTACACGAATACCACCTGGTGGTTAACACTTACACTCACTCACCCATTTGACCATAAACAGAAATATCAATCTCAATCTCAAAATAATGAATCTTAACTAGTCATAAGTTGGCCTGTGATACTCCAATACTGAAACTATGTATAGTGCCAAAACAAAAGCATTCACATTTCTGAACTCACAAACTAGTATTTAGTCACTTAGCCATAATACCAACTTACCTCATAATTTTGTAATATTTTAAACTTAAGGTTTAATCTAAGTCTGCCCGAAATGCCTAGCCATGCTAGGTGTTCTAGTGGTACACTCTGTAATTATTATTTTACTACATGTAAACCACACAATAACCAAATTCTGTAAACTCAGCATTGTAATACTTATAGAGAATAAACTTTGAATTTGAATTTGAATAGAATGGCCAACATGGGTTTAGTTTCATATTTAATAAAGGTACCTGGATTATACTTTAAGGGTATTCCGCGGGTCAACGCCCCCTCTGCCCGGTCCATGACCAAGACTCGTGGTGGATTAGGGCCTGATCAACCAGGCTGTTACTGCTGGCCAAATGCAGACTTATGTATGAACTACAGCCCGACTGGTGAAGCACTGACTTTAGGTGTCTGTCCAACTCCCTCTTGAAGACAACCAGGAGTCTATTGGTAATACCCCTTATGTATGCTGGGAGGCAGCTGAACAGTCTTGGGCCCCTGACACTTATTGTGTTGTCTCCTAGCATACTCATGATGCCACTGCTTTTTATTGGGGGAATGTTGCACAGCCTGCTGAGTCTTTTGCTTTCTTGTGTAGATTTGGGATTAGTCCCTCTAGGATTTTCCAAGTGTATGTTATCATATTATCTTGCTTGTGTTCCAAGGAGTACTGGTCAAGGGTCTTCAGCTGTTTCCAATTTAAGGTACTTATACATGCAGTGAAAGTTCTTGGTATATTCTCCAGGTCTGCAATTTCACCTGCCTTGAAAGGGGTCGTTAGTGTACAGCAATATTCCAGCCTAGAAAGAACAAACTATTTGAAGAGAATCATTATGGGCTTGGTATCCCTAGTTTTGATGGTTCTCATCATTATCCAATACGTATATCATTTTCTTAGCAGATATGGTAGACACATTGTTGTGATCTTTGAAAGTGAGATTCTAAGACATTACCACTCCCAGGTCTTTTACATTAGTTTTTCGCTCTATTGTGTGATTGGAATTTTATATTTTGTTTTATAATCTACAAATAAAGGCTATTTTATTTATTCTACAGATGATTTGGTTGCAGAGGTTGACAGTCAATTATCTAAGAATTAAAGTGAACTGTCAACGAATCTAATGAAGCTAAGAACTTATTAAAGTGAACTTTCAAATATTTTAAATGAGCTATCACGTCATTTATGTGAAATAATTAAAGTGAACTCTAACAAGAACTCATAAAACTTTAATGGAAGCTGGACACTGAGAATATTATATGACTGAAGGATGCAGTGTGTTATGAGATCCATTATACTGCTTATGGTTGTTCTTGTCCTGGTTAGCAGTATGTTCTATATGTTCTTCAGTAATGGAAGACCCTTACAGGTGAGTCATTATCTCTATATAATTTTTTCTTATTAATTACCTATTTGTAGCAAAAAGCAATTGAGTGAATGATGGTGAATGAGTTTCCTCTTTTCTTGGGTCACCGGTGTGTTAAAGTAGATGTAAGATATCCCGGTATTGCATAACCCCAGCCCCTGTACCTCCATACAGACAATAAGAATAGTGCAGAGTGCGGCACAAGTTTCCAATGCAGTTAAATATTAGTATTGAAGATTTAAAGCAAACCAGAAGATGCACTAACAAGTTATCACATGGATAAATAATATCACAATATCTTCAACAGAAACTGCAAGACAGGGCAAACATAACTCTAAACTGTTTAATGCCTTCCTCTAAGAAACACCAGCATTGAAGCCAAACTGAAGCGGCTTCCTCTTGATATCTCAGAGTTCAATAGCTGTATTATGCACCCTTGACCCATGGTGTGGGCGATAGTTACCTCTGACCCATATGTGTGTTGTCTACCACCCACACCATGGGTATGTGGTAGCCACCACACACACTGTGGGCATGTGGTGACCACCATACATATCCGGAGTTTACTTGGAGGGTGTTCTGGGGACAACACCCCCACGGCCCAGTCCATAACCAGGCCTGATGGTGGATCAGGGCATGATGAACTAGGCTGTTACTGTTGGCCGCACCCAAACCAACGGTCAGGTACTGACTTTAGGTGCCTGTCCAGTGCCTTCTTGAAGACAGCCAGGGGTCTATTTGTAATCCCCCCTTATGTATGCTGAGAGACAGTTGAACAGTCTTGGGCCCCTGACACTTATTGTATCGTCTCTTAGTGTACTCGTGGCACCCTTACTTTCCATTGGGAGGGGATGCTGCTTCTCCTGCCCAGTCTTTTGCTTTCATAGGGAGTGATTTTCGTGTGCAAATTTGAGACTAGTTCCTCTAGATTTTCCAAGTGTATATTATCATGCATCTTTCTCGCCTGAGTTCCAGGAGTACAAATCAAGGAATTTCAACCATTCCCAGTAATTTAGGTGCTTTATCATACTTATACATGTAGTGAAAGTTCTCTATATATTCTCCAGGTTTGCAATTTCTCCTGCTTGGAGAGGGACCGTTAGTGTGCAGGAACATTCCAGCCTAGGACAGAATTTGCACATATTTGATTTCTGTTTGCTAGGATATTTTTTTTTTGTGGTTGTAGTTGTGGCATTGGGTGTGGCTGTGGGTTTGTGGCAATTATCATCCACACCATGAGTATGTGGTACACAAACTAACTTACTAATATCCTGGTCATAAGAGCCATCAGTTATTAAATGTTAAAATTGTTCTGAAGAGTTAGACTCAAATATATATAATGTAAGTTTATTTAGGTACAGGTAGGCATAAATACAGGTGCACATGTTGTCATATACAGTAGCATATTTAATTTATCCACCAAGATAACCCAAAGAAAATCAGAGTGAGTTATTTCCATTGATTAAAATTTCACACTATTTCACACATAAAAAATGGAAGTGGTTCACCTAGACACTTAACTTTCTCCAGTGTAGTCAAATTAAGAAGTAATTTTTTTTTAACAATTTAGCTGTGACACTAAGGCTTTTGGAAGTTATCAGAGCCATTCCAGGATGCTGGGGATGGGTTCAGTAACTTTGGTCACAGAGAACTTGATAGGTAAGACCCATGTGCAACAGTTGGGTGTCTTTAGTGTTGAAACGTTTTGCCTACACAGTAGGCTTCTTCAGTCAAATACAAAAGCAGCAGGTGTAGTAGTGAAATGAAGATGATGTAATCAGTCCATCAACCTTGGGGAAATAGTATTCTAGGTGGTCAGTCCTTCAGTTCCGTGAAGCTGAACTCTTCTCCAGGCTGAGGGACTGACCATCTCAAATACTTTTTCTCCAAGGTTGATGGACTAATTACATCATCTTTATTTCACTACTACACCTGCTGCCTCTGTATTTGACTGAAGAAGCCTACTGTGTAGGCAAAACATTTCAACACTAAAGACACCCAACTGCTGTACATGTGACTTACTTATCAACTTGTCTGTGTTTTATACTATTTCAAGATAGGGAGCTTTTCCCTACCACCTAGTGCTGGAACTTTGAAACTGATCAGATAAGGACTTCTCGTGTTATGAGGGAAATAAGAACGAAAAGTTACCTGGAGTATACCTGGAGGGTATTCCAGGGGTCAACGCCCCTGCGGCCCAGTCCATGACCAGGCCAATTTGTAAGGCAAAAAATCAGGCAACCCCTTAAAGATTTTTCTTCAGGAACAACTAAAGAGTAAGAGAACTATACCGGTGGAGTCCACTTTGAAGTACTTATTTTATATATTTTTTATTTCTTATTCTATAGTAACCGTATGATCCATAAGGTTTTAATGCTCACTAAGTAGCATAATAATGGCATCAAGTCATACCTGCTAGTGAAAGTAATTGTGTATGAAATTTGCAAATTTAAACTGTAGATAAAATTAACATTTATTATTAAACTTTAAACAAAACGCTAAACTATCTAGACGAGTACAAATAGAAAGCGCATCTGTCTTGCTCTCAGTAGACAGAGGATCAAGCCTTCACCACGTTTGTCTTGCTCTGGATGGCCCACATGGGTTTAGCACTTAACATTAAGAAATATCGCAGAGAGCTAAACCCAGCAGGCCATTCAGCACTAAGAGTTAACTTAAAATATAACTTCGCATGAAGTCTAGTAATAATGAACATTGACAACAATTTTACTTTCCTTTTTTCAGGTTGGGTCAAGGATGGAGAGAGACTTATGGTACAGGTTATCAGGTCCTGTATCAGCCAGGGACCCACACCTGCTGGAAGTCCTTAGGAGAGACTTCTTAGTCCCTCCCTCTCTCTTACCTTACAATTTCTCCAACAGTCTTCAGATCAGATAGGCAAACAAGATTTCACGTGGCCTTGGATACACAGGCATCTACAAGAAATGTTTGGTGACCAGCGTGGAGGGTTCTTTGTGGAGGCCGGGGCGCTGAACGGTGTTTATCTCTCAAATACACTTTGGCTGGAGACTTCCTTGGAATGGACAGGTCTTCTGGTGGAACCAGACAAGGAAAGCTACAAAGCTCTCAGCTTCAAGCACCGTAAAGCTTGGAGCTCGAACACTTGCCTTTCCTCTGAGCCATACCCAAAGAAAACCATCATAGTTTCCCATTACGTGTTGGAGAGGAACTCGTTTGATAAGGCTTACTGGTGGTCGTTCCGCGGTCACAGTCATGAACTGCGGCAGAGTTACCCAAACAAACTTCACACTGAGAAAACGATGGAGAAAAGCTTTTCGTCTGTTCAGTGCTTCCCTCTGCTCTCCTACCTGTTGGCCCTGAACGTCTCTACTGTTGACCTCCTCTCATTGGACGTTCAAGGCACAGAGGCACTCATCCTGGACTCCTTCTTCAACACCAGCAGCGTCTCCGTCAGGGTCATAGTAGCTGAGGATGAGGAAGGTACGTTCAGTCACTCACACATGGAGAAGATGGGATACATCCTGGTGGCCTCACTGACAGACCACATTTATGTTAAGAAAGGAGACCAAATACTCACCAGGGCAGTTGTCAAGGAGTGGACTGCCAAACTGAAGACAGACCGTAAGACCCCACAGAACTAATATTCCATACCGGAAATCAACCGGGTGACGTCACTCAAACAAGCCCACCACCTGTGACCTCACAAAAGAACACTGCCAGTGACCTTGTAAACACAAGACTAATGAAACAAATGAGACCCTCAAGTCATATCTATGTTAAGGTGTGATCAATATTAATTACAAAAATTTCAGAACCGTCTTTAATGTGTTTCTCTTACATTTTATATATAGTATATATATATATATATATTTTTTTTTTTTCAACAAGTCGGCCGTCTCCCACCGAGGCAGGGTGACCCAAAAAAGAAAGAAAATCCCCAAAAAGAAAATACTTTCATCATCATTCAACACTTTCACCACACTCACACATTATCACTGTTTTTGCAGAGGTGCTCAGAATACACCAGTTTAGAAGCATACACATATAAAGATACACAACATATCCCTCCAAACTGCTAATATCCCAAACCCCTCCTTTAAAGTGCAGGCATTGTACTTCCCATTTCCAGGACTCAAGTCCGACTATATGAAAATAACCGGTTTCCCTGAATCCCTTCACTAAATATTACCCTGCTCACACAACAACAGATCGTCAGGTCCCAAGTATCATTCGTCTCCATTCACTCCTATCTAACATGCTCATGCACGCTTACTGGAAATCCAAGCCCCTCACCCACAAAACCTCCTTTACCCCCTCTTTCCAACCCTATTGAGGACGACCCCTACCCCTCTTTCCTTCTCCTATAGATTTATATGCTTTCCATGTCATTCTACTTTGATCCATTCTCTCTAAATGACCAAACCACCTCAACAACCCCTCTTCTGCCCTCTCTGACTAATGCTTTTATTAACTCCACACCTTCTCCTAATTTCCACACTCCGAATTTTCTGCATAATATTTACACCACACACAACATACATACATACATACATACATACATATATATATATATATATATATATATATATTATATTATATTATCTATATATATCTATATATATATATATATAGGTAGTAGGTTGGTAGACAGCAACCGCCCAGGGAGGTACTACCGTCTGCCAAGTGAATGTAAACGAAAGCCTGTAATTGTTTTACATGATGGTAGGATTGTGGTGTCCTTTTTTTCTGTCTCATAAACATGCAAGATTTCAGGTACGTCTTGCTATTTCTACTTACACTTAGGTCACACTACACATACATGTACAAGCACATATATACACACCCTCTGGGTTTTCTTCTATTTTCTTTCTAGTTCCTATTCTTGTTTATTTCCTCTTATCTCCATGGGGAAGGTGGAACAGAATTCTTCCTCCGTAAAACCATGCGTGTTGTAAGAGGCAACTAAAATGCGGGAGCAAGGGGCTAGTAACCTCTTCTCCTGTATATATTACTAAATGTAAAAGGAGAAACTTGTTTTTCCTTTTGGGCCACCCCCCCTCGGTGGGATGCGGCCGGTGTGTTGAAAGAAAGAAAAGATATATTATATATATATATATATATAATATATATATATGAGAGAGAGAGAGAGAGAGAGAGAGAGAGAGAGAGAGAGAGAGAGAGAGAGAGAGAGAGAGAGAGAGAGAGAGAGAGAGAGAGAGAGAGAGAGAGAGAGAGAGAGAGAGAGAGAGAGAGAGAGAGAGAGAGAGAGAGAGAGGGGGGGGGGGGGAGGGGAGGGGGGGGGGAGAGAGGGGGGGGGGGAGGGGGGGGGGAGAGAGGGGGGGGAGTATATGGAGAGTAAAAGAAAGGTAAAGAGAGTGGTGAGAGAGTGCAAAAGGAGAGCAGATGAAAGAGTGGGAGAGGCACTGTCAAGAAATTTTAATGAAAATAAGAAAAAAATTTGGAGCGAGTTAAACAAGTTAAGAAAGCCTAGGGAAAGTATGGATTTGTCAGTTAAAAACAGAGTAGGGGAGTTAGTAGATGGGGAGATGGAGGTATTAGGTAGATGGCGAGAATATTTTGAGGAACTTTTAAATGTTAAGGAAGAAAGGGAGGCGGTAATTTCATGCACTGGCCAGGGAGGTATACCATCTTTTAGGAGTGAAGAAGAGCAGAATGTAAGCGTGGGGAGGTACGCGAGGCATTACGTAGAATGAAAGGGGGTAAAGCAGCTGGAACTGATGGGATCATGACAGAAATGTTAAAAGCAGGGGGGGATATAGTGTTGGAGTGGTTGGTACTTTTGTTTAATAAATGTATGAAATAGGGGAAGGTACCTAGGGATTGGCGGAGAGCATGTATAGTCCCTTTATATAAAGGGAAAGGGGACAAAAGAGATTGTAAAAATTATAGAGGAATAAGTTTACTGAGTATACCAGGAAAAGTATACGGTAGGGATATAATTGAAAGAATTAGAGGTAAGACAGAATGTAGGATTGCGGATGAGCAGGGAGGCTTCAGAGTGGGTAGGGGATGTGTAGATCAAGTGTTTACATTGAAGCATATATGTGAACAGTATTTAGATAAAGGTAGGGAAGTTTTTATTGCATTTATGGATTTAGAAAAGGCATATGATAGAGTGGATAGAGGAGCAATGTGGCAGATGTTGCAAGTATATGGAATAGGTGGTAAGTTACTAAATGCTGTAAAGAGTTTTTATGAGGATAGTGATGCTAAGGTTAGGGTGTGTAGAAGAGAGGGAGAATACTTCCCGGTAAAAGTAGGTCTTAGACAGGGATGTGTAAAGTCACCATGGTTGTTTAATATATTTATAGATGGGGTTGTAAAAGAAGTAAATGCTAGGGTGTTCGGTAGAAAGGTGGGATTAAATTATGGGGAATCAAATTCAAAATGGGAATTGACACAGTTACTTTTTGCTGATGATACTGTGCTTATGGGAGATTCTAAAGAAAAATTGCAAAGGTTAGTGGATGAGTTTGAGAATGTGTGTAAAAAGGGAGAAAGTTGAAGTGAACATAGAAAAGAGTAAGGTGATGAGGGTATCAAATGATTTAGATAAAGAAAAATTGGATATCAAATTGGGGAGGAGTATGGAAGAAGTAAATGTTTTCAGATACTTGGGAGTTGACGTGTCGGCGGATGGATTTATGAAGGATGAGGTTAATCATAGAATTGATGAGGGAAAAAAGGTGAGTGGTGCGTTGAGGTATATGTGGAGTCAAAAAACGTTATCTATGGAGGCAAAGAAGGGAATGTATGAAAGTATAGTAGTACCAACACTCTTATATGGATGTGAAGCTTGGGTGGTAAATGCAGCAGTGAGGAGACGGTTGGAGGCAGTGGAGACGTCCTGTCTAAGGGCAATGTGTGGTGTAAATATTATGCAGAAAATTCGGAGTGTGGAAATTAGGAGAAGGTGTGGAGTTAATAAAAGCATTAGTCAGAGGGCAGAAGAGGGGTTGTTGAGGTGGTATGGTCATTTAGAATGGATCAAAGTAGAATGACATGGAAAGCATATAAATCTATAGGGGAAGGAAGGCAGGGTAGGGGTCGTCCTCGAAAGGGTTTTGGGGAGAGGGGGTAAAGGAGGTTTTGTGGGCAAGGGGCTTGGACTTCCAGCAAGCGTGCGTGAGCGTGTTAGATAGGAGTGAATGGAGACGAATGGTACTTGGGACCTGACGATCTGTTGGAGTGTGAGCAGGGTAATATTTAGTGAAGGGATTCAGGGAAACCGGTTATTTTCATATAGTCGGACTTGAGTCCTGGAAATGGGAAGTACAATGCCTGCACTTTAAAGGAGGGGTTTGGGATATTGGCAGTTTGGAGGGATATGTTGTGTATCTTTAAATGTGTATGCTTCTAGACTGTTGTATTCTGAGCACCTCTGCAAAAACAGTGATAATGTGCGAGTGTGGTGAAAGTGTTGAATGATGATGAAAGTATTTTCTTTTTGGGGATTTTCTTTCTTTTTTGGGTCACCCTGCCTCGGTGGGAGACGGCCGACTTGTTGAAAAAAAAATATATATAAATACACACACATACAGAGGAAGAATTCTGTTCCACTTCCCCATGGAGATATATATATATTTAGGTAGTAGGTTGGTAGACAGCAGTCACCCAGGGAGGTACTACCGTCCTGCCAAGTGAGTGTAAAACAAAAGCCTGTAATTGTTTTACATGATGGTAGGATTGCTGGTGTCTTTTGTCTGTCTCATAAACATGCAAGATTTCAGGTGTCTTGCTACTTCTACTTACACTTAGGTCACACTACACATACATGTACAAGCATATATATACACACATCTCTGGGTTTTCTTCTATTTTCTTTCTAGTTCTTGTTCTTGTTTATTTCCTCTTATTTCCATGGGGAAGCGGAACAGAATTCTTCCTTCATAAGCCATGTGTGTCATAAGAGGCAACTAAAATGCCGGGAGCAAGGGGCTAGTATATATTACTAAATTTAAAAGGCAAAACTTTCGTTTTTCCTTTTTGGCCACCCCGCCTCGGTGGGATACGGCTGGTACGTTGAAAGAAATATATATATATATATATTTTTTTTAACAAGTCGGCCGTCTCCCACCAAGGCAGGGTGACCCAAAAAGAAAGAAAATCCCCAAAAAGAAAATACTTTCATCATCATTCAACACTTTCACCTCACTCACACATAATCAATGTTTTTGCAGAGGTGCTCAGAATACAACAGTTTAGAAGTATATACGTATAAAGATGCACAACATATCCCTCCAAACTGCCAATATCCCAAAACCCCTTGTTTAAAGTGCAGGCATTGTACTTCCCATTTCCAGGACTCAAGTCTGGCTATATAAAATAAATGGTTTCCTTGAATCCCTTCTCTAAATATTCCCATGTTCACACTCCAACAGCTCGTCCGGTCCCAAATACTATTCGTCTCCATTCACTCCTATCTAACACGGTCATGCACGCTTGCTGGAAGTCCAACCCCCTCGCCCACAAAACCTCCTTTACCCCCTCCCTCCAACCTTTTCGAGGACGACCCCTACCCCGCCTTCCTTCCCCTACATATTTATACGCTCAAGTTGTTCATACTGTGGTAAAATCTTCACAAAAGTATGTAGTATGAAATGTGAATGAACCAGAATGGGACAGGTATTAATATGCATTCACATTTGTTTACGCTCTTGGTGTCTCTTGTTTACGATGGCATCTAAGGGTAGCTGTTAGAAATGATTAAACTCAGTGAACAAGGTATGTTAATGTAACATTTTTTTTTTTTTAACAGCAGTTTCCCACCAAGGCATGGTGACCCCCCCCCCCAAAAAAAAAAAAACTTTCATAATCATTGAACACTTTCACCATCACTCGTACATAATTACTGTCTTTGCAGAGGCGCTCAGATACAACAGTTTAGATGTCCCTCCAAACTGCCAATACCCGAAACCCTTCCTTTAACCCTTTCAGGGTCCAAGGCCCAAATCTGGAGTCACGCACCAGTGTCCAAGAATTTTCAAAAAAAAAATTTGTTATTTTTTCTTATGAAATCGTAGAGAATCTTTTTGTGAAGGTAATAAAACAAAAAGTACGAAATTTGGTGGAAAATTGACGAAATTATGCTCTCGCGAATTTTGATGTGTCAGCGATATTTACGAATCGGCGATTTTGCCGACTTTGACTCCCATTTTAGGCCAATTACATTATTCCAATCAACCAAATTCTTAGGTATTTCACTAGTATTACTTCTATTCTATCGATTGAGCACAAGAAATCGCCAAGTCAACTGTTTCAACTACAAAATAAAGTGATTGGAAATTGGTAATTTGGCCAATTTAACACAAAGTTCAAAATATTCCAATTTCAAAATAGGGTCCAGAATGAACAATGTAGGCATTCCTGGCACTAAACTAACATTTCCTCTGTTCATTAGTTATGTTTTGAGGCTTTACAAATAAATTCCATTTTGATTTTTTATTCACATAATGAATTTTTATTCACACCAAAAAATAGAAGATTTACTGTTATGCAATACTGTAATAATTGTATAAATATCATCACCATATTTGTGAATGTATATTAGACCCACCAGCTGACGTGTATTAGACGTGTGAGGTCGTTTGTTTACTCTTGAATATCGGCAAAAATTTAACATTTCTGCTACTTTGAGCTCAGTTTCAAGCCATTTCCAGTGCTAACCAATCAAAATCATCTCTATTTCTGTAATATGTCTTCCATTCTATCAAATGAGACCAAGAAATCGCAAATACAACTATAAAAAACATACGAAAAAACACTGCAAAGTTGCTGTTTTAATCGAAAAATCATGATTTCATTTTTTTTTTCTCATTATACACAGTGTGCTGCAGGATCTGTTTTATGTGGTGCACACATACCACATAGATGTATTCTCTCATATCTAGGCCCAAATGTACCACTCACAGTTTATCAGAGTGAGCTGAGCTCATGGCGTAGATCTACGGTTTGGACCCTGAACGTAAAGCCGTAGATCTACGGGACGGACCCTGAAAGGGTTAAAGTGCAGGCATTGTATTTCCCACTTCCAGGACTGAAGTCCAGCTAACCGGTTTCCGTGAATCCCTTCACAAAATATTACCCTGCTCACACTCCAACAGCTCATCAGTTCCCAAAAACCAATCGTCCCCATTCATTCCTATCTAACATGCTCATGCACGCTGGCTGGAAGTCCAAGCCCCTTGCCCACAAAACCTCCTTTACCCTCTCCCTCCAATCTTTTTGAGGACGACCCCTATCCCAACTTCCTTCCCCTACAGATTTATACACTCTCCAAATCATTCTACTTTTTTCCATTCTCTAAATGACCACACCACCTCCTAATTTCCACACTTTGAATTCTCTGCATATTAACACCACACATTGCCCTTAGACATGACATCACCTCCAGCCTCCTCCTTGCTGCAGCATTTCCAACCCATGCTTCACACCCATATAAGAGTGTTGGTACCACTATACTATTGTACAGTCCCTTCTTTGCCTCCATGGATAATGTTTTTTGTCTTCACATATACCTCAACACACCACTCACCTTTTTTCCTTCATCAATTGTATGGCTAACCTCATCCTTCATAAACTCACCCATGTTAATTGCTCTGGGTACCCTAAATTTAAGTAGTATATTTCATGTAGGTGTGGGAGCTACCACACCTGATTTTCTACGATAAATACTCACCTCTCACCCTACATTAAGACTACACATTTTAAATGTAAGTAATGAGTATACTATATGTGTATTTTACTTTTTTATTGTTTTTTGATGCCTAGTTCTATTGCTAACTTAATATATAATAGTGTAAACTTGTTATATGCATTTACAAGTGGAAAAAAAGGGCCACCCACTTTACAGTGGCAGCCTGGAACCTAACCTGCCATGTAAGTGGGGCCCTACTGTATACATGGAAAATGAGTTTATTAGAAAAAGATTTTTCTCTATCAATCAAGAAATTTTCTACCTCAAAAGTTTGAAAACACAAATGCAATATATTTTTATTTTCACGTTATTTAGAACAGACATTATTTTGTTACAATTATAGTTGTAATATTTTAAGAAATAAATACAAAATTCTTTTTATGCCATTATATAATACAAGCAAGAAGCCCAAGTGTAGGTGTCCAGACTCAATTTGTTACTGTACATGACATTCACATTTATGATACACTAGTCACTAAATTCTCTCACATAATTGAGAAAGTCAATAGGGCTTCCTTTTTCTTCAGTACCTTAATGAGAGCACTCTTCCATTGATTTTTTAGTGAAGTTTATGTCTTGCTGTAGTTTTGAGTATTCTTCTAACAATTCCTGGTACCTCGAGTCGAGTCCACTGTAGCTGCTTAATTTATGCTGAAGAAGGGCCAAGGTCTTTTGAGCTCTTTCTTTACGGTCCTCCAGATGAGCCTGAATAAGCTTCAGTGCTGGAACTGACTGGCTGTTGTAGGTGTCAACCATTATCTCTAATTGCATACACCTGGAAAATATTCATTGATTATACACTATTATGGAGATATACACATCATATTGTAATTTTTTTTTTATTTTTTTATTAACACATTGGCCAATTCCCACCAAGGCAGGGTGGCCCAAAAAAGAAAAACATTCATCAATCATTCACTCCATCACTGTCTTGACAGAGGCGTGCTTAACACTACAGTTATAAAACTGCAACATTAACACCCCTCCTTCAGAGTGTAGACACTGTACTTCCCATCTTCGGCCTGCCGGTTTCCCTGAATCCCTTCATAAATGTTACTTTGCTCACACTCCAACAGCACATCAAGTATTAAGAACCATTTGTCTCCATTCACTCCTATGAAATATGCTCACGCATGCTTGCTCGAAGTCCAAGCCCCTCGCACACAAAACCTCCTTTACCCCTTCCCTCCAACCCTTCCTAGGCCGATCCCTACCTCACCTTCCCTCCACTACAGATTTATACACTCGAAGTCAATCTGTTTTGTTCCATTCTCTCTACATGTCTGAACCACCTCAACAACCCCTCCTCAGCCTCTGGATAATAATTTTGGTAATCCCATACCTTCTCCTAATTTCCAAACTATAAATTTTCTGCATTATATTCACACCACACATTGCCACAGGTGTACTGTGGCAATGTATAACATTGCCACATCATATTGTAAATGTTTATATATTTTATTGAGATTTATGTGCCACATTATTATTGTTCATAAATTCTACAAAGATTTACACATTATATTGTTGAATTAGACACATGTGCAACTCTTGGGTATCTTTATTGAGGAAACGTTTCGCCACACAGTGGCTTCATCAGTCCATACAAAGGAGAAACTTGAAGAACAGGAGGAGAATGAGGTAATCCGTCCCTCAGCCTTAAGTCGATGTGGTCAGTCCATCAATCTTGAATAGAATACGGCATATGAGCGGAGAAGCAGCTTATAAACCGTAGACAGGTGAGGGGCAGCAGTCGTAGGTGGTGTCACATTTGTCCAATGTGGAAGTAGGTCGTGCCCAAGGGTTAGGCAAGTGAAGAATTCCCAAGTATTAAGATCCCAAGAAGTTGCAGTGTCTGACAGGATTGTAGATGAATGGTTCAGAGAACCAGCATGTTGTTGAATTAGACACATGTGCAACTCTTGGGTATCTTTATTGAGGAAACATTTCACCACACAGTGGCTTCATCAGTCAATACAAAGGAGAAACTTGAAGAACAGGAGGAGAATGAGGTAATCAGTCCCTCAGCCTTGAGTCGATGTGGTCAGTCCATCAATCTTGAATAGAATACGGCATATGAGCGGAGAAGCAGCTTGTAAACCGTAGACAGGTGAGGGGCAGCAGTCGTAGGTGGTGGCAGAAGTAGGTCGTGCCCAAGGGTTAGGCAAGTGAAGAATTCCCAAGTATTAAGATCCCAACCCTTGGGCACGACCTACTTCCACATTGGACAAATGTGACACCACCTATGACTGCTGCCCCTCACCTGTCTACGGTTTATAAGCTGCTTCTCCGCTCATATGCCATATTCTATTCAAGATTGATGGACTGACCACATCGACTCAAGGCTGAGGGACTGATTACCTCATTCTCCTCCTGTTCTTCAAGTTTCTCCTTTGTATGGACTGATGAAGCCACTGTGTGGCAAAACATTTCCTCAATAAAGATACCCAAGAGTTGCACATGTGTCTAATTCAACAACATGTCGGTTCTCTGAACCATTCATCTACAACACATTATATTATCTAGGTTATACTCTACAGAGCAAATATAGAGACCTAGCCTCAGTAAATAAAGTTTTAAGGAAATATACCAGGATTTCTCCTTGAGGCTGTTTGAATATTCTACTTCTCTACTTTATTATAGAAGAAATCACAGGTTTTAACCCTTAAACTGTCCATACACAGATCAGTGTTCATGTGCGTAGCGCTCCAAACGTAGGTCTACTTTTTTTGTTCCATACCTGGAGTTCCGGGGGTCAACGCCCCCGCGGCCTGGTCTGTGACCAGGCCTCATGCTTTCAAATGAAGAAAATAAAGGTCAGAGTGCTACACATGTGAACTTGGATCTATGTTTGGACAGTAAGAGTTAAAGGCTACATTGCCAATACACTATTTTTTTTTAACCACTCTAGTTGTCTTCTACCAGGGAAGGTGATCCAACAATGGAAAAACTGACAGTCATTTATTCAAAGCTGTCTTGCTAGGAGTGTGCAACTTATAGTTCAAATGATCCTCTGATCTGCATCATTCAGACCTATTTCACAGTGACTTGCTTCATTATTAATACTTAGCAACTGTTTGTTGAATGTATGGATCTAGAAAAGGCATATGATAGGGGGATAGAGTAGCTTTAAAGCAGATTTAAATGTATGGAATAGATGGGTAGTAGGTAACTAAAAGCAGTAAACAGTTGAGAAAGAGGCTTAGGTTAAACTATGTGGGAGAGGGATTATTTTCCAATAAAAGTAAGCATAAGACAAGGGCACACAGTACCATGAGAGTTGTTTAACACTTTCATTGTTGTGACCAGTGAAAAAAAATCTGAAATGGTGGAGAATGTATTTCTGAATGTAATGACACCACAAATGCAAAGTTTTATGAAAAACTTACAGAATTACACATGTGCAAAGTTGGCAGTCCGGGAGCAATTTATGCAATGGTGATTTTGACCACTGATTCATATGTTAAGCTAGTTCCATTGCTCAATTTAACCAAATTCCTAGCTATTTCAGTAGAATGCCTTCTGTTCTACAGAAGTCGATAATTTGCCCAAAGTTACACAAATTTCAATTTGCAGAGTCCAAAGTAGGCGATCCAGTCACTAAGTAACCTTTCCTCTGTTTATTAATCACATCTCCTGGCCACTTCTATATAACACTTTCTCACCATTTTGAATCCATCATCGCACACAAAAAATCAAAGTTTTATCCTATTTCTCAGATAATAAAATATAATGAAGAATGATTGGTCATGGTTTAGGCCATCCCTATAATTAACCCCTTGAGGGTCCACACCCCCAATCTGGAAAGTGTCCATAGGGTCCAATAATTTTCAAAAAAAAAAAAAAAAAAAAAATTTTCTTTGAAATGGTAGAGAATCTTTCTGAAGGTAATAAAACAAGAAGTATGAAATTTGATGGAAAATTGATGAAATCATGCTTTCACAAATTTTGATGTCAGTGATATTTATGCATCGATGATTTTGCCCACATTGAATCCTATTTTAGGCCAATTACTTTATTCCAGCAGACTAAATTATTAACAATTTAACTAGTATGCCTTCCAGTTTGTCAAATGAACACAAGAAACTGCCCAATCAACTATTTCAACTACCCAATGAAGTGATCAGAAATAGGTAAGGCCAATTTCACACAAATTTCAAAATGTGCTGATTTCAAAATAGGGTCCAGAATAAACAAAGCAGGTATTCCTGGCACTAAAATAACATTTCCTCTGTTCATTACTCATGTTCCCGGACCTCTTTTATATCACACTTTCTTTCCATTTTGAATTTTTATTCACAAAGAATATTCATTCATATAAATAAGAAAATAAGAGTGAGATTAACAAGTTAAGGAAGCCTAGAGAACAAATGGATTTGTCAGTTAAAAATAGGAGAGGAGAGTTATTAAATGGAGAGTTAAAGGTATTGGCAAGATGGAGGGAATATTTTGAGGAATTGTTAAATGTTGATGAAGATAGGGAAGCTGTGATTTCGTGTATAGGGCAAGGAGTTTACCTGGAGACCTGGAGGAGGAATAACATCTTGTAGGAGTGAGGAAGAGCCAGTTGTGAGTGTGGGGGAAGTTCATGAGGCAGTAGGTAAAATGAAAGGGGGTAAGGCAGCCGGGATTGATGGGATAAAGATAGAAATGTTAAAAGCAGGTGGGGATATAGTTTTGGAGTGGTTGGTGCAATTATTTAATAAATGTATGGAAGAGGGTAAGGTACCTAGGGATTGGCAGAGAGCATGCATAGTTCCTTTGTATAAAGGCAAAGGGGACAAAAGAGAGTGCAAAAATTATAGGGGGATAAGTCTGTTGAGTATACATGGTAAAGTGTATGGTAGAGTTATTATTGAAAGAATTAAAAGTAAGACTGAGAATAGGATAGCAGATGAACAAGGAGGCTTTAGGAAAGGTAGGGGGTGTGTGGACCAGGTGTTTACAGTGAAACATATAAGTGAACAGTATTTAGATAAGGCTAAAGAGGTCTTTGTAGCATTTATGGATTTGGAAAAGGCATATGACAGGGTGGATAGGGGGGCAATGTGGCAGATGTTGCAGGTGTATGGTGTAGGAGGTAGGTTACTGAAAGCAGTGAAGAGTTTTTACGAGGATAGTGAGGCTCAAGTTAGAGTATGTAGGAAAGAGGGAAATTATTTCCCAGTAAAAGTAGGCCTTAGACAAGGATGTGTGATGTCACCGTGGTTGTTTAATATATTTATAGATGGGATTGTAAGAGAAGTAAATGCGAGGGTCTTGACAAGAGGCGTGGAGTTAAAAGATAAAGAATCACACATAAAGTGGGAGTTGTCACAGTTGCTCTTTGCTGATGACACTGTGCTCTTGGGAGATTCTGAAGAGAAGTTGCAGAGATTGGTGGATGAATTTGGTAGGGTGTGCAAAAGAAGAAAATTAAAAGTGAATACAGGAAAGAGTAAGGTTATGAGGATAACAAAAAGATTAGGTAATGAAAGATTGGATATCAGATTGGAGGGATAGAGTATGGAGGAGGTGAATGTATTCAGATATTTGGGAGTGGATGTGTCAGCGGATGGGTCTATGAAAGATGAGGTGAATCATAGAATTGATGAGGGGAAAAGGGTGAGTGGTGCACTTAGGAGTCTGTGGAGACAAAGAACTTTGTCCTTGGAGGCAAAGAGGGGAATGTATGAGAGTATAGTTTTACCAACGCTCTTATATGGGTGTGAAGCATGGGTGATGAATGTTGCAGCGAGGAGAAGGCTGGAGGCAGTGGAGATGTCATGTCTGAGGGCAATGTGTGGTGTGAATATAATGCAGAGAATTCGTAGTTTTGAAGTTAGGAGGAGGTGCGGGATTACCAAAACTGTTGTCCAGAGGGCTGAGGAAGGGTTGTTGAGGTGGTTCGGACATGTAGAGAGAATGGAGCGAAACAGAATGACTTCAAGAGCGTATCCGTCTGTAGTGGAAGGAAGGCGGGGTAGGGGTCGGCCTAGGAAAGGTTGGAGGGAGGGGGTAAAGGAGGTTTTGTGTGCGAGAGGCTTGGACTTCCAGCAGGCGTGCATGAGCGTGTTTGATAGGAGTGAATGGAGACGAATGGTTTTTAATACTTGACGTGCTGTTGGAGTGTGAGCAAAGTAACATTTATGAAGGGGTTCAGGGAAACCGGCAGGCCGGACTTGAGTCCTGGAGATGGGAAGTACAGTGCCTGCACTCTGAAGGAGGGGTGTTAATGTTGCAGCTTAAAAACTGTAGTGTAAAGCACCCTTCTGGCAAGACAGTGATGGAGTGAATGATGGTGAAAGTTTTTCTTTTTCGGGCCACCCTGCCTTGGTGGGAATCGGCCAGTGTGATAATAAAAAAAATAAAAAAAAAAATAAAAGATTTACTGTTATGCATTACATTAATAATTGTATAAATAATGTCAGCACATTTGTGAATGCATATTAGACTGACTAGTTGGACGTGTATTGGACAAGTGATGCGATTTGTTTACTCTGAAAAATTTATCAAAAATTTAATATTTCCATTAATTGAGCTTAAGCTCAATTTCAAGCTACTTCTGATAAAAATCATCTCTATTTCAGTAACATATCTTCCGTTCTATCAATTGATACCAAGAAACTGAGAATAAAACACTATTTTAAATAAAAAACCCAGCAACAGGTTTTTCCCATCATGCACTGTATGGGGCAGGACTTTTTTTTTATATACATATTGTATAGCTCACTCACCAAACAGACCCATTCTTCCATATCTAGGCCAAAATTTTCCCCCTTACAGCTTATTTGCGCGAGCTGAGCACATGACGCAGTTCTACGGCACTGACCCAGAGTTCAAAACCGTCGAACTACGGCACTGACCCTCAAGGGGTTAAAGCAGACCAAGTAAAAAACCCATAAAACAGACTAGGCGGGGACACAGGGAAAAATCTTACACTTCCTCAGTGAAAGAAAAAAAATTATACACTTTTTGCCATTTTGAGCCCTATTTCAAGCTACTAGTCCAAAACTAGGAGAGAGAGAAAGATATGGGGGGAGGGGAGGCAGTTTTGTGCATGAATGAAAAAGAATTTAAATACTTAAACATGCAGTAATACATTTTTCTTAAGCAAAATACTACAAAATTTGAGAAAGTTTAGAATATTATATATAGCATTTTTACATTTAAGTTATTAAAAAAAATTTTTGTTGACTATTATTTAGAATGAAGACAAAGACAAAAATCTTCAGGTGTTGTTACCTTCTCATAACCCTATACACTCATCTACTTAGATAACCTGCCTGTTTATATATATTACTGACAGTGACAGAACATGAACCTACTTGAGTTTCATCAGCTGAACATTGTGCATATTGATGCCACTTAAGAGGTGCTGTGCTGGGTAGCAAGACAAGCGTTGCTTTTCCACCAGACACTGCAGAATCTTGCTGTACTTCAACAGCAGACAGTACACCTGTAACAAAATATATATTAACCATATCCTGGAAAGTGACCCAGAAAATTAAATATTTATCATTCATTCAATAACTGACTATAAGTGCAAAGACAACACAACATGCCTCATCTTCACTAACAATGATGATTTGATACGTGATATAACCACATCAAAGACAATTCACTCGGATAACAACATTTCTGAGGTACAAACGTGAGCACAGGGCTCTTGACCAGCAAAATGTGATCAGTCTTAAGGGTGTCTTCACAAAATTCAAATTCAATAAGAAAAACATACGTGAGAACAAGTCAACCCGACATACAGTGGAACCTCTGTTTTCGTCATTAATTCATTCCAGAAAGTCTGATAAAAACCGAATTCAATGATAACTGAAGCAATATTTCCCATAAGAAATGATGTAAATCCAATTAATCCATTCCAGACACCCAAAAGTATTAACAAAAAATACATTTTATAAAGAATAACTAATTTTACATACAGAAAACAATGAAATATAAAGGACTAATGAAACTGATAAATGAACATTTAACATCACTTTTACTGAAGATTCATTGGCATATGGAAGACAGTGAGAAGGGGAGAGGTAGGAGAGGTTATCTCTACCACCATCACTACCACCCTCTACCAACGAGAAACAAAGCCAGACTGACTCAGAACGCAAGGGATGCTTTGTGTGGGCATGGGCGGACACATTTGGTACGGTGGACCACTGTCAACTCGACAAAAACTGAGGTGATGAATGAAAACGGACAAAATTTTGACAAAAAAAGTAGTTGAAAACTGAATTCATTGAAAACCAAGGTTCCACTGTATGTGCACAGGGCTCCTGAGCAGCAAAATGTGATCAGTTAAGGATTAAGGATTTTATTTCTTTGCATAGGTTTAGAGCAGGTCACTCCTGCCTGTCCTAGCTACTGGACCACTATGGCAAAGTCCTGGATGCTACAGAGGATCAACAAAATGTAGATGTAGTATACACAGACTTTGCAAAAGCCTTTGACAAGTGCAACCATGGTGTAATTGTGCACAAAATGCATGATAAAGGAATAACAGGAAAAGTTGGTAGATGTAGCTATAATTTGGCAAATAGAATTCAGATAGAATTCAGACAGTAAAGTCTGAGGCAGCGACTGTGACAAGCTCTGTTCCACAAGACACAGTACTTGCTCCCATCCTATTTCTCATCCTCATATCTGACAGAGATGTAAGCCATAGCTCTGTGCCTTCCTTTGCACATGAAACCCGAACTGCCATGACAGTGTCCTTCATCAAAGACACCGCAAGAGTCCAAGCAGATGTCAACCAAATCTTCAAATGGGCCACTCAAAACAATATGAAGTTCAATGAAGGGAAATTTCAACTACTCAGATATGGAAAACTTGAGGAAATTAAAACTGTATCAGGGTATACAACAAATTCTAACCATACAATAGAGCAAGAAAGTAATATGAAGAACCTGGGAGCAATAATGTCAGAGGATCTCACCTTCAAAGACCACAACAATGTATCTACCGCATCTGCTAGAAAAATAATAGGATGGATAACGAGAACCTTCAAAACTAGGGATGCCAAGTCCATGATGATTCTCTCCAAATTGCTTGTTCTCTCTAGACTGGAATACTGCTGTACATTGATTGCCCCTTTCAAGACAGGCAAAATTGCTGACCTGAAGAGTATACAAAGAACTTTCACGGCACACATAAGTACGATAAAGCACCTAAATTACTGGTAATGGTTTATTTGTATTCCCTGGAATGCAGGCGAGAAAGATACATGATAATGTACACTTGGAAAAGTCCTAGAAGGATTGGTACCAAACTTGCACACGAAAATCACTCCCTATGCAAGCAAAAGACTAGGCAGGAGATGTAACATTCCCCTAATGAAAAGCAGGGGTGCCACGAGCACACAGACAATAAAATAAGTGTCAGGAGCCCAAGACTGTTCAACTGCCTCCCAGTATACATAAGGGAGATTACCAATAGACCCCTGGCTCTCTTCAAGACAGCGCTGGACAGACACCTAAAGTCAGTACCTGACCAGCCAGGCTGTGGCTTGTATGTCAGTTTGCATGTGGCCTGCAGTAACAGCCTGGTTGATCAGACCCTGATCCACCACAAGGCCTGGTTTCAGACTAGGTCATGGGGGCATTGACCCCCGAAACCCTCTCCAGGTATACTCATGCCTCAGAGTGCATCCACAGTACAACATCTCTTATAAAACAACACACATCAGACTGCAGCCACTGCACAACACTCTTATAAAACACACATCTTCAGTATTGTCAACAATAATGCAAAATTAATTTTATGTCACGAGTTACAGAAAATAGATCACGGGTAAATAATACTGACAAGCTGATAGATAAGATACATCTGCAACACTTGGGTACCTTTGAGAGATTTTTTTGTGCCCCATTAACTTTATAATTTTCATTAGCAACACATACCCATTCTGATGTTGGTAGTCACTCCATACCCATCCTATGAGAGGAAGTCAACCCACACCCATGTGTGGTAGTCACCCCATACTGATTGTTATGGGGGTTTAAAGACCCATTAGGACATTTAGAAGAGGAAACATTTTGCCTCGAGTGGCTTTTTCAATCCTAATACTAAGAACTTGATTGACTGATTCATCAGGAACAGCATCACAACATTGGTCTTAATCTTAATATGACCCATCAGAGGATCTCTAAGATGTTAATCTAATTCAGTATTATGTAGCCACGATCATGGTCTTGCTGTAGTTCCTGTGCGTTCCACTGCCATCACTGTCTCTGGCCACTGTGTAGGGTGATCAGGTAAATCTGAGAAATGAATGGACTGTTTTGTCCATGCATATATTCACAAGGGTCTTTTCATCTCAGTCTATCAAGTCGCATATGATATCAGTGAAACATGTGATCATTGACATCATTTGATGGCTCATGGGCAATACAGGATGTCCTAGTCTGCTCTCTTGGACTTCAATGTTCCTCACTGGTGACTGTTGCAGTGCTAGGGTTGATGTGTTGGGTGATGGGTGGGGAGTTGCTGGTGGTGGTAATTTGTGGTAGGTGGGGGAGTTACTTGTGGTGGTGATAGTGGGTGGTGGCGAGTGATAGTTGGTGGTGGTGAGTGGTGATGGTTGGTGGTTGTGGTGTACATCATGTATGTTACAATTTATTCAAGGTTCATCACACACCCAGTGGCATGTCCTCTCGACCAGTGAACTGGCAGTTCAGAATATAGCAGTTCTGCTATTACATCCCAGATAACACTACCCCCCTGTGAGGAGGAAGCCAATAGTACCGTATAATGTTGTCACTACTGGAGGCACATAAAATTACAAGAATTAAAGAATAATGAATATTGCACTGACATATTTCATAACACATCAAATAATATTAATCTAACAGCCTGACATGAGAATCCAATCAATCATCTCTGTTATAAGATTGAATGGGAAAAAATGTTCCTCATTATGTCAACACTTTTCATCAGTGAATAAAAATATGCCATGCTGGAATCTATCATAACTTGAGAAGACTAAATTGATGGTTCTTTCCCATACTACGATTATTTTAAGCACACATCACGGCAATATTTCTATTTTACAATATAAAGAAAGGAGGAACACTGCAGCAGGCCTGTTGGCCCATACTAGGCATGTCTTTCACAATCCATCCAACTAACAGAATATTTGCCCAACCCATCTTCAACAATACCCAAGCAATAAGCCTTGGTAAACCTATTTACTCATGTGCTAGTTAATACAATAGGTGATACTGTTTAACTAATAACAAGAGAGAATGCAAAATTTTCCAGTGTGTGGGGGTGGTAATTACCACATACACATCCTGAGGACAGTAATCATCACATACTCATCCTATGGAAGGAAGTCACCTCGAGTCCCTCAGGGAGTCACTACATACTCTTAAGTCCTCCATTACATGGGTACTCAAGGTTCGTAAGCCCCACCCTGAGCTAGATCCACCTCCTGGTGGATGACCTGCCCTGTCCTGAGCTAACCTGCCTCCTGGTGGATGACCTACCCTGCCCTAAGCTAGACCTGCCTCCTGGTGGATGACCTGCCCTGTCCTGAGCTAACCTGCCTCCTGGTGGATGACCTACCCTGCCCTGAGCTAGACCTGCCTCCAGGTGGATGATCCAGTAACCTTAGCCTAGATCAGTTATGTCTAACCTTCCTTGCTCTTTTTCTCTCACCAGACCTTGGACTTACTGGATATCCATAGTCATGGCTCTCTTTCTCTCTCCATGGCTAACATAGATGTAACTCACTTTTTCCTTGTACATGGAGACAAAGATGTGTAGCAAGCATGTGCACTAGCTTAGAGTGAAGCAATCTTGCAAGAAATGGAAAGATAATTAGGAAAAAGTAAAGAAAAGCCTGAGAATAAATCAAAGAACATATGACCAGCCTCCAGCAGTATGACCATCAATCAAGACAAGAACTGGCCATCAGTACAAGAATCTTTCCCTTTCTTTACCTGGATAGTTCTGCTATAGTTGACAAAGGCTAAAATACCAAAAGTTGATGATAATGTTATAGATGTGTTACAAGAGAACAGTGACTCACCTGCTGGAACAAGTAGTCAGTCTGTCTCATGCTGTGTATCAGTGCAAGTCTCTCCTCAGTCAACTTGCGTGCCTTGTCCTCCAGCCGATCAGGAATTTTACTAACTTCATCAGGATCATAATTCACAAATTCTGTAATAAAGGAAGTGTGAATACAGGTTATCTTAAGAGTGTACTGTAGTTATTAACACCAGTACAATATGCTACTACCAAGATTACTCTAACAACACTGCTGAGCCTATATAAAAAATGGTGTCAGACTCAACGTATTTAAAACACTTATTATACTATGTTATGCCGTAAGTCAATATGCATACTTCAGTCCTAGTTAAAGGTGACAAGACACTCTTCATTTTGGACAAAGGAGCAAGTTCCTCTAGTACTTATGTTGAAACATGGGTGTCAGGGATCAAACCTGCCACCATGAGGGTGATCTAACATCAATAGGTACAAAGCCTCCCATCATGGTAAGATGATCTAACATCAGTAGGTACAAACCTTGCCACCACAGTAAAGTGACCACATCAGAGGGTCACAAATACTACCACAGTAAGGTGACCACATCAGAGGGTCACAAATTCTACCACAGTAAGGTGACCACATCAGAGGGTCACAAATCCTACCACAGTAAAGTGACCCAGCACTGGCTGACCCACAGCCAGGGTCACAAGGATCTTAGAGTCCTGTAGTTACATAAAACAGAAATAACCCAACAACTGATTAGTGGGATAATATTACAGTGATGGACACAGGAGGCAGAGGATCAAAGATAATTAGGTGAACATGTTAGAGGCAGTTAACAGTGTTAGAAAAGGTGGCTGTAGCAATCAGCACAAATAGTTCCATAATCATTAATGAAAGAAACAGAATGATAATGATAAAGGTGTCAACAGTACACATCTTAAGTAACTTCTCACATTAGATACTAACATGTCTCATGATCCACACTGAAGATTGTCCACCTATCTCAGTGGACTAGAAGTGAAAACTTACTCTCTCCTAACTTATACACAACTGAGAATGTTAATCCACATGAATACAAGAAACAAACTACAATACACAACCACGAAAAACCACAACACATGAACACAACCACAACACACAAACAAATGAACACAACTATAACGTACAAACAACCACAACACAGGAACACAGAGGAACAAAAAACACATGAACACAATGCATGAACACTAACAGGAACACTAACACAGGAACACAACAACAGGGATACAACACAAACACAGGATCACAACCTATAACACAATTACACAGGAACACATCAACATATGAAAACTAAAATAATGGCACACACCAACACAAGAACACAACTAAAACACTGGGACACAAGAAATATACATATATGTACCACAAAGAGGGTAATCCTCACCTACTGGATCCAGAAATGAAGCAATCCTGATCCATTCCTTTTCTATCCTCTCCTCTAACACCTTAGCCAACTGAAGGATCATCTTGTCAGAGACACGGACCTGGGCACGTGCTAACACTTGCTCTGGGGTGATGCCAAACACCGTGTGCTGTATTGGAAAAGTCAAGATGCACAATTTCAAACACTTAGAAATTAATAAATAACAAATAATTGATACTGAAAAAAAAATATTGCACTGTACACTTAGAGAGAACCCCAACTTATGACATTATTGCATTCACAAATTCATAGTAATTTGCTGCTCTGTACTTGGAACCTATTTTATTATAAGAATGTAAAATGAATTAATCTGCTCTGAAGCCATAAGGTGGGTCACCTTGAATATTTTTTGTTGTTTAATCACCGGGATTTTCTGAGTAGTATACATGCATAGGCTTCAGTTTCAAATATCCAGAGATATTGGCACCCAACAGATGGCAGGCAGACATATTTGTAAAGAATTGGCGACTTAATATTTACACTCTTATTCAAGCAGTCTTCCACCACCTGTGTCTGGCATATGTACAGTCTCCCTCCCTCCCTCTGTGTCTGTCTGTCTGTCTTCCTCCCTTTCATTCTGCCTCACTCCCACCCACCACCTCCAAATTTCCACCCACTACCCCTCACCCACTCACTCATTTCCAACACGCCCTTCACCTTTTCATCACTGTCTTGTCTCTGGGCTCAGGCCCACCCACGAGCACTGACTATCACATGTATATGGTATTTCAAAATTTTCATCACAACTCAAAACTAAATTCCTTTATGAAGGTAAATCCTAACTTAAAATTATGGTAACTCAAGCCCATCGTAAGGCAAGGGACTACTGTGCATAGAAAAGAGACAACACCAACATACTCTACTCCCATAGCTACAAATAGGTAATCACCTGAGACTGCTGGAAGCTGGATAATGGTTGTTGCATCTTCTGATGTTGCGCTGAGGTTGTCTGATCTGAGCTGTCCTGGACCAGCATCAAGTGATGCTCTAGTTCAGATAATGTCAGAGCTTCGAGCATGTCCTGCAAGTTCTGGATTATAAAGAAAATAAGTAACATGTTAGAAGACATATTATATTAAACTCTCTGCTGAAGAAGACATAAAATATGGGAATGAAAGGCAAACTGAATTCATAATTTAAATACTAAATTGTTACTATAATATGGGAATATGTATACCTGGAGGGGGTTTCAGGGATTAACGTCCCCACAGCCCGGTCTATGATCAGGCCTCCTGGTGGATCAGGGCCTGATCAACAAGGCTGTTACTGATGGCCTCATGCAGATCAATGGACAAACCACAGTCTGGCTGATCAGGTACTGACTTTAGGTACCTGTCCAGTGCCTTCTTGAAGACAGCCAAGGGTTTATTGGTAATCCCCCTTATGTATGCTGGGAGGCAGTTGAACAATCTTGGGCCCCTGACACTTATTGTGTTGTCTCTTAGTGTACTCATGGCGCCCTTGCTTTTCATCGGGGCAATGTTGCATCTCCTGTCAAGTCTCTTGCTTTTGGTAGGGAGTGATTTTCATGTACAAGTTTAGTACTATTCCTTCTAGGATACATCACACAAATAGATGTAGATACATCACACAAATAACCCACACATAGGAGAGGGGAGCTTACGACAAAGGTTTCAGTCCGAATTGGACCATTTACAAAGTCACACTAACAGAAAGGAGGAGGCAGTATACACAGGCCAGCAGACAGGGATGGGACAAGAGAGGTAATAGGGAAGGAAGTAGAGGGGTAGTGGTAGAGGTGGTAGTAGTGGTACTGGAGTCATTCAAAGACTAAGAAAGAGGAACACTACAAGGGAACTAGGGGCCCACAAAGGGCAGGAACACAAACACAGTGGGGGGGATGAAATAAATAAACAATAAAGGGCCAAACACCCAAGGCAGAAGAAAGAAAACTCTAAGGAGAAAGAGGAAAGGGGAAGAGGGAGAAGGAGAAAAAAGAATCAGGTTAAGTCACAGGTGTTCTGAAGTTTCGAGCATTTTACAATGTAATGAGAAAGGAAGGCATCCACAGAGACAAAGCCAGGACTAAGATCCATACAAGGAAAGTTGTGTATAAGGGAGGATTCAACAAGATGGCGACTGTGGAAGTTAGAAGTAGGGTAGACAGTTTAAGCAGAAAATCAGTCAATAGGATGAGGGTGATCTTGGACATAAAAAAAAAAAGAGCATTGTTGATGATGGCAAGCCTAATACTAGTTTTGTGCTCCTTGAGTGTCAGAAAGAGAATGGCCAGTTTCTCCAAAGTACTGAAGAGGGCAAGAGGAACAGGAAATAGAGTAGACACCAGGAGCATCTATAGAGGGAGGAGAGGTATGAACTAGATTGGTGTGAAGAGTGTTAGTCTGGCAAAAAGTAAGATTGATGTCTAAGGAACGGAGAGGGTTGTTGAGATTAGAAAGACTGGAAATATAGGGAAGGCAGAAGACAGGAGAGTTCCCAGGAGTAGAGAGTTTAGGAGAGAAGAAAGTCCATTTAGCACGCGAGAAGGCAGAGTCTATGAAATGGGAAGGGTAGCCATGACGAGAAAATGAATTACGAAGAGTGGAAATTTTTTGATTCAAGGAACCAAGGATCACAAATGTGGAGAGCATGGAGAAAGAGAAATAAGAACACTTTTCTTGACAATGGAAGCACATGAAAAAAATGAATGTACATGCCACTGTGCAGAGGCTTGCGGTACATGGAAAGAGCAACATGTGTATCTGAGAGGTGGACATGAACATCAAGGAAAGGAAGCAAAGAATTAGATTCCCATTCAGTTTTAAACTTAATGGAAGGGGCAAGATTATTAAGGGCATCGAGAAATGGCTGGAAGAGACTAGAGTCATGAGGCCAAAGAGCAAAGATGTCATCTACACAGAGCCAGAGTGAAGGGAGCACATCAATAGTAGGAAGAACAGTCTCAAAGTATTCCATATAAAGATTAGCAAGAACAAGAGACAGAGGAGAGCCCATAATATCTGCCTTGGAAGGAAAAGGAATCTGAGTCCACACAAAGACAAATAAGATCAAGACATCAATAGGTATAAGGGATGAAGTAACCCTTCATTGGCCTTCTGAGAAAATTGAGGACATCATCAAGAGGGACATTATAGAGGAGGGACTCAACATCAAGACTAAGCATCTTACAGGTCGGGAGAGGGCAAACACGCTCGATGAAGTCTTGAGAATGATGAAATTGGGCAGGGAAAAAAATACTAAGAAAGGGAGTGAGGGTTTTGGCCAACCAAGAAGAAAGAATAAGAGACAAAACCTCTAGAAGATATGATGGGATGAAGAGGAATAACTGGTTTATGAGTTTTGGGAAGGCCATAGAAATAAGGCAGAGAGGGACAAATGACATCAAACTCACTTGTTGCCAGACTAACACTCTTCGCACCAATCTAGTTCATACCTCTCCTCCCTCTGTAGATGCTCCTGGAGACTACTCCATTTCCTGCTCTTCTTGTCCTCTTCAGTACTTTGGAGAAACTGGCCGTTGTCTGTCTGAAAGACTCAAGGAGCACAAAAGTAGCGTTAGGCTTGCCGACACCAACAATGCTCTTTTCTGTCAAGTCGGAGATCACAGTCATCTTACTGACTATCATGTGCCAGTCCAAGGAGACTATCAAGGGACAGGTGGCAAGTTTCTACAACTTGAAGTTGCATGTTAAGAGGAAACACCCAGTACATGCCATCCAGTTTGAGGAGAGAATCAAGGCCGGATCTTCCCGTGGAAAACATGGGCAATCTTGTGGCAGCGCCACTAGCAGGAGCAGCAGCCAGTCATCACAGCCGCCTGCAAAGAGCATGCCAGACCACCACTGGAGAAGCATTTGTTGCTGCTGGCACTAGCATCCCTCAGTCTGTGGTGGACACAAAGATTGTGGACCTATTCATCTGCAACATGCTGCAGCTGCATGTACTGGAATAACCCACCTTTGTCAGCCTGATCAAGACACTGAACCCCAGCACAATTTTCAACTACTCGTTTGTAGTTTATTGGGTTCAAAATCTAAATTAAGTTAAATGTAAACATGAACAGAAACAAGAATAAAATGAACGAATACAATGAGTAACTGGAACTAATGAAGAAAATAGTCAAATAAGCTAACTCAATCTCTTTGGGTGCTATGGTGCTTCAGTACAGCAACAAGTGTGCCCTTGTCGGTCGCTCGAGTTACATCAAAAAATCAAACAATCATTATTTTCGCACTAGCGGCACTTTATTATATGACCTTGGCATTCTATATCTAATTAGGAAGCTCTCCAGGTCTGTTCTAAAAAGTCTTAAAAGTAAAAAAACAAAAAACTAAACTGAATCTGAATTCAAGTGAAAAAGTTAGCATTTATTGTAAGCTTCCGCTAATTTTTCAGCAGTTTAGTGGTTTAGCGTCAGCGGAGCTAATTTGCTAGTTAGCGGATTAGCAGTCACGGAAGCTAACTTTTTGGTTAGCTGTGCCCACTACTGTCCCCAAGGCATAATTCCCTTTTGGTCCATCTCCAGCAGTATTGTTCTTTGTACCTCTGAAAATTGTATAACGCTATTTACGTCTTTCATCACCAGGGCCACTATCTCCATTGGGTGTGCTGTCCTCCAGGACAACGCCAGCACCCTCTGGTGCATTGTCCTCCAAGACAGCCCCATCCAACCCACCCATTTTATTTTCCCAGCTGCTATACAAGGTTGTCATGTTTTCTAAGAAGGATATTTTATTGTTGTTGTTGTTTTCTTTTAATATAGATGTAATTTTCTCCCACAGGGGTATCTCTGACTCACGAAATTGTAATGACATAATTGCAAACAAACCATACCACAGGCTTTATTATTATTATTATCACACTGGCCGATTCCCACCAAGGCAGGGTGGCAAGAAAAAGAAAAACTTTCACCATCATTCACTCCATCACTGTCTTGCCAGAAGGGTGCTTTACACTACAGTTTTTAAACTGCAACATTAACACCCCTCCTTCAGAGTGCAGGCACTGTACTTCCCATCTCCAGGACTCAAGTCCGGCCTGCCGGTTTCCCTGAACCCCTTCATAAATGTTACTTTGCTCACACTCCAACAGCACGTCAAGTATTAAAAACCATTTGTCTCCATTCACTCCTATCAAACACGCTCACGCATGCCTGCTGGAAGTCCAAGCCCCTCGCACACAAAACCTCCTTTACCCCCTCCCTCCAACCTTTCCTAGGCCGACCCCTACCCGCCTTCCTTCCACTACAGACTGATACACTCTTGAAGTCATTCTGTTTCGCTCCATTCTCTCTACATGTCCGAACCACCTCAACAACCCTTCCTCAGCCCTCTGGACAACAGTTTTGGTAATCCCGCACCTCCTCCTAACTTCCAAACTACGAATTCTCTGCATTATATTCACACCACACATTGCCCTCAGACATGACATCTCCACTGCCTCCAGCCATCTCCTCGCTGCAACATTCATCACCCATGCTTCACACCCATATAAGAGCGTTGGTAAAACTATACTCTCATACATTCCCCTCTTTGCCTCCAAGGACAAAGTTCTTTGTCTCCACAGACTCCTAAGTGCACCACTCACCCTTTTCCCCTCATCAATTCTATGATTCACCTCATCTTTCATAGACCCATCCGCTGACAAGTCCACTCCCAAATATCTGAATACATTCACCTCCTCCATACTCTCTCCCTCCAATACCACAGGTATGGTCCTGATTTTATATCTGTAGTGGTTGCTGGTTTAAATTGTACATCTCTGGTGTATCATGGTAAGAGCCACAACATTGTCTGGCGCTGAGGTCACTAGTGACTCCTGAGGGGTCATGGTTTACATCACTGGACAGTGCAACTCAAGAGTCACTAATCTGTCCATGGTCCAGGTGTGAACAGCACCTTTGCTTAACCCGTTAACTCTTCAAATGTAGATCTGTTCTCATTGCTAGCACTCAAATATTTTGAATTTTTTTTAAATATAGAGGGCAATTTTCTAAATGTAATGGGATAAAAACAAAATTTAGGGTAAGTACTTACCAAGATATAAGGCCGCAAAGTTGGCACTTGATGCTCACCTGACGGCAACACGGAGTGCTGCCGCTTGGAGAAATGTTGCAAATAGTTTTTTTTTCTTTTTTTTTAATTCTCGGTTTTTAAAGATTTAAAGATTTATTTATTTCTTTACAATGTTCACAATGTGTGATTACAATTTTGATTTGTTAAGTACAAAGAAAGCCACTATCATGCCTGGACATTTTGGGCAGACTAAACCTAATTCATACTGACTACTTAATACTAGTGTTTTGAATAGAGTAAATTTTTTATTATACATTGTTTTTCTCATTAATAGAGGTAGCTAGTTGTTTACAGTAATTAAAATTTATAGTTGAGATATAGTATATAAAAAATTACAATACAGGTCGGCCATCGCTAATCTGGCAATCGGTTATCTGGTTCCATCAGGAACTAACCTTGGCAGTTTTGTCGTAGCTTGATGATGTCTCATGCAGTGTTGATGTCTCATACAGTGCATCATGAACTACACGATGCAGGGTAGCAACCTCTATGTACAACTGCCTGATAAAACAAATATAATTTAAAATATTTGTATATGTAAATTAATCTAATACAAAAAATCCATCATTTTAACAACATACTTTCATTAAATAGATAATGATAAAAGAGTTAAAACCCTTAATGTCACCAGCAATAATTTGCAACTAAAAAAACTGCAAAGGGAAAGATACACAGTTCAGTCTGTACTGGATCATTATAAAGTCTGGAGTCATAATACTATATGGTACTCTAAAATGTTGCAATTTTGAATCTCCATTTTATGTTTAGTTGTGTATACTACCAACTGTGTGAATCAGGGCATCAAACCTCACCAGTAAAGAAAATCACACATCCATCCTTCAGAACTCTCAGTAACCTCTGTAACCCTTCCTCAGCCCTCTGGATAATACTTTTAGTAACCCTGCACCTCCTCCTAATTTCTTAACTATGGCTTCTCTGCATTATATTCACACCACACATTACCCTCAGACACAACATCTCCACAGCCTCCAGCCTTCTCCTTGTTGCAAGATTCACAACCCATGCTTCACACCCATACAAGAGCACTGGTATAGCTATACTCTCATACATTCCCCTCTTTGCTATTATGAATAATGTTCTTTGTCTCCACAGACTCCTCAATGCACCACTCACCTTTTTCCCCTCATCAATTCTATGATTCATCTCATCTTTCACTGACCCATTTGCTGACAAGTCCACCCCCAAATATCTGAATGCATTCACTTCTTCCATGCTCCCTCCCTCCAATCTGATATCCAATCATTCATGACCTAAATTTTTGGTTATCCTCATCACCTTACTCTTTCCTATATTCACTTTTAATTCCCTTCTTTTACACACCCTTCAAAACTGGGTCAGAATCTCCCAAAAGCACAGTGTCACAGTTGATTTTTTCCTGATGGCAACTCCCACTTTGTGTTAGATTCTTCATCTTTTAATCCCACACCTCTTGCCAACACCCGAGCATTCACTTCTCTTACAGCCCCATATATAAATACAGTGGAACCCCAAGTTTCGAACTTAATCCGTTCCAGGAGCTAGTTCTAAGCTCGAAACATTCGAAACTCCAAGCAATACTTTCCATAAGAAATAATGTAAATACAATTAATCCATTCCAGGAACTCAAAAATATTCACAAAAAAATACATTTTATAGAGATTATAGTCTTACGTACACACAAACGTACATAGTACAATTAGTGATAGATAAATAAACATTTAAATAAACATACAAGATTTTTACTTACCTTTATTGAAGATTGTTGATGGCATCTGGAAGATAGGGGGGAGTGAGAGAGCACTTGTTTGGAAGGGGAATACTCTTCCATAAAGGCTTTAGGTAACAAGTCCTTATCTGGGGTTACTTACCTTTAAGATTTTCCAAAAATGAGACATGGTTCTGTCACTGAATTTGTAGAGATGGCTTGTTTCAGCTTGCTCAGGGTGATATTTTTCAGCAAATGCCTGCACCCTATTCCACACTGCACAAATCTTAATTTCTGAAGAAGGCACCACCATCAACCAATACCATCCACCACCACCAGGGTAGCTTATTTCAGTCGCACTTAATAAACAAGCACCAAACAATGAATTAATAGTGAAATGTTTGAATGAGTGCGCAGGTTAGTGTTTACTCAAGCATAAACAAAGCCAGACTGGCTCATGACGCCTGCGCGGGGACGCTGGCAGGCGGACAGGTCTGGTACACAGTTCGAAACACGGAGCAAGTTCGATACTTGGGACAAAATTGGTTCTAAAGAAAATGGTCAAAACTCAAAGCATTTGATAGTCGATGCATTCAAAACTCGGGGTTCCACTAACTGAAATCTGATGCATTAGCAAAACACTAAAGTGGGGCCTGCCTGTACTCTGACAACTTCAAGTTTACTACACATATGCTTCATTCAACACCAGCTGACATTCATTTACACTTACACCTAGCGGTAGCAAGTGCAGGAATGACCAACCAACATTTACACCTGCAGTGACAGCAAGTGCAGGATTGACCAGCTAACATTTACACATGCAGTAAGTGGCAGAAGATGCATAAAATGACCAGAAAAGATTTAAACATCTATTATGATAGCCCATGACCTGGTGGTAAAGGCTCTCACTTCACACAGTGAGGGTCCGAGTTTGATTCCTGGTAAGGGTGGAAACATTGGGCACGTTTCCTTACACCGGTTGTCCATGCTCACCTATCAGTAAAAATGGGTACCTGGGTGTTAGTCGATTGGTGTGGGTCGCATCCCAGGACAAAATTGACCTAATTTGCCCGAAATGCTCTGCATAACAAGTGGCTTTCTATATAGTAGTATATCACTGATGTCAGATAGGCCTGTATACCTTTTACATGTACAGTGGACCCCCGGTTCGCGATGCTATCGGTATCCGATAAATCCGGTAACCGATGCATTATATCGCAGAAAATTTGCCTCGCTTCCCGGTACAAAACCCGGTATGCGATGTGGTTCGTACGAGACGTGTCCATGTGTGGCCTGAACTGCCCCGTGTGTGCCAGTGTTTACAAGCCAGCCAGTGTGCGCGCATCTAAGGATACATTCGGTACATTCCATATTATCCATATTATCACTGTTTTTGGTGCCTGTTTTTGCAAAATAAGTCACCATGGGCCCCAAGAAAGCTCCCAGTGCCAACCCTTCGAGACCAAGGGTGCTAATGACTGTTGAAATGAAGAAAGAGATAATTGCAAAGTACGAAAGTGGAGTGCATGTGTCGGAGCTGGTCAGGTTGTATAGTAAACCCCAATCAACCATCTCTACTATAGTGAGCAAGAAAACGACAATCAAGGAAGCTGTTCTTGCAAAAGGTGCAACTGTGATTACGAAGTGTTACGCAAGTGTTACAAAATGTTGAGAGACTGTTATTGGTGTGGATAAATGAAAAACAGATAGCAGGAGATAGCATCTCTCAAGCAATCATTTGTGAAAAGGCTAGGCAGTTGCATGACGATTTGGTAAAAAAATTGCCTGCAACTAGTGGTGACGTGAGTGAATTTAAGGCCAGCAAAGGTTGGTTTGAAAGATTTAAGAATCATAGTGGTATACATAGTGTGATTAGGCATGGTGAGGCTGCCAGTTATGTTGTGCGACAGAAGTCCAGTGACTCTTAAGCTGGTCCTAGTGGCATTAAAAGAAGAAGGGAAGTAACCCCCAGAAAAGGACTTGCTACCTCAAGTCCTAATGGAGGGGGATTCCCCTTCTAAATGCTAACACCATCCACACTCTCCCCTCCTCCCATCCCATCAATCATCACCAGATCTTCATTAAAGGTAAGTGTCAATTATTCTTTCGTTATTTATTGTTATTTATTGTTATTGTTGTTATTGTAATTACTATTCTATTTCATTAAACTTAATATTTCATGTGGTAAAAGTTTTTTTTTTCATACTTTTGGGCGTCTTGCACGGATTAATTTGATTTCCATTATTTCTTATGGGAAAAATTGATTTGTTTTCCGATATTTTTGGTTTACGATGAGCTCTCAGGAACGGATTAGTATTGCGAACCGGGGGTCCACTGTACTTGTAAAAATAAAGATATTATTATACCTTCAGAGTCCTACATCAACATTGTTATATTAATGGTCACATAGAACATGTGTAATAAGAGGTAATCATATCTGATTTAGAGAAGCAAAGAAAATCTATAAATTTTAAATCAAAATGCCATGAGCAGCATGACGACTGCCAACCATGAAGAAAACACTACAGTACCTGCCATGCTTCATGGTGCCATGAGCAGCATGATGATTGCCAACCTTGAAGAAAAACGCTAAAGTACCTGGCATGCTTCATGGTATAGGCAGCCTGCATAAGCTTGGCATGAGTGGTCTTGTAAATGCCGGTAGGTGTGAGGCGACTGCTGAGGTCCTCCAAGAGATGGGCAAGTTGAGGGAACTTTTTGACATCGTGGGCTCCAATATATACAGGCAGGCTTCCACTCACTGTGGACAAGAGTATTATACTGCATTATATTATTTATAATGACATACAAACACACAATGCAATAAATATTGGCCAATGATACAAATAAACTTGAAGAGAATAAAAGCAAAATACAAATAACCCACACATAGGAGAGAGGAGCTTACGACAACATTTCAGTCCAACTTGGACCATTTACAAAGTCACAGTGCAACTTTGTAAATGATCCAAGAGTAAACAGAGTGGATGGGTGATGTCTGCATGCCACCCATCCACTCTTTACATCCTCCATGAGCTCCATGTCTCTCTCTTGATTATGTCTGGAAACTTTCCAAAGTTTCAAGTGCTTTAACCCTTTTGCTGACTGTGCTGCAGTACTACAGCTTTGAGGTTATTGTCCATTCCTTATTACTATGCCATGAGTTCAGCTCACTCAGATATACTGTGCGAGGTAAATTTGGGCCTAGATATGAGAGAATGATATTAAAAAAATCCTGCAGCCTTCAGTGCACGAGAAAAAACTGACTGCATTCCTGGTTTAAAACAACAACCTAATGGTGTATTTTCATATGGTTTTTATGGTTGTATTCTGTTTCTTGGTCTCATTTGATAGAATGGGAGATTTATTACAGAAACAGATGATTCTGATTGGTTTCAGGACTGAAAATAGTTTGAAATTGAGCTCAAAGTAGCAGAAATGTTAGATTTTTGCAGATATTCAAGAGTAAACAAATCACATCACTCATCCAATACATGTCCAACGGGTGGGTCTTATAAGCATTCACAAATGTGCTGATATTATTTATACAATTATTACAATATTGCATGACAGTAAATCCATTTTTCTGTGAGAACAAATTCATTGTTTGGATAAAAAATCAAAATGGAAGCCATATGTAAAACCTGGGAACATAACTAACGAACAGAGGAATACCTATACCGCCTGCATTGTTTATTCTGCATCCTATTTTGAAATTGGAATTTTAAAATTTGTGTGAAATTGGCCAAAATGCAAATTTCTGATCACTTTATTGGGTATTTTAAATAGTTGATTGGGCAATTTCTTGTGCTCAATCGATAAAATGAAAGACATACTGAAGAAATAACTGAGAATGTGATTGACTGGAATAACGTAATTGGCCTAAAATAGGACTCAAAGCCAGCAAAATTGCCAATGCATAAATATCACACACACACAGCAAAATTCACGAAAGCATAATTTTGTCAATTTTCCATCAAATTTCATACTGTTCATTTTATTACCTTTAGAAAAAAAAGATTCTCTACCATTTCATAAGAAAAAAATAGCTTTTTTGAAAATTCTTAGACACTGTGGACAAGTTTCAGATTGGGGGTCTGGACAGTGAAAGGGGTAAGGTGTCCATGGAACATAACCCTATTTTTCCCATATGTTCTTCAGTTTGTTTAAACAATTTATTTTCTTAGACACCATTTTCAAGAACGTCACTACCGTCTTAACTGATGGTCAACTGTATACACAGGAGGGTCCCACATATTTGGCACCCTCTTTTTGGTGTTCCAAGTTTTCTTGGGTTTTCAATTAAGCCATTGTTCTCTATGTTTGGTGCTTTTTCTGCTGTTTTCACATAACAGCTGCTTAAGGGAAGTGTTAGCAGTACCATATTTTTATAGTAAGTATTGCATGTACTGTGTATTTACTTTTTAATCTATTTTTTATACCTAGCTGCATCAAGCACTGCTTATTGCTACTGGTTGGGAAACCTAACAGCCATAAAAAACAGGACTCCTCTGTATGTGTGTGTGTGAGAATGCATTTATGTAGGGCATGTGTGTAGGATGCCACTATATCTAGTACTATTATTGTTACATTCATGACCTGTAGGGGTCATAAAACTTCTGAGGAAATGACAAATTCAGGTTTGGTCCAAGGAAATAGAGCACAGGTCCAATTCCTCAGATTAAGAGCTCCCTCACTGGCTCTAGGGAATCCAACAGTTTATGTACAGGATGGCCCTGCATATAGAGCTCCCACTTTTTTGATTTTCAACATTTCGATGAATTTCATATGAGCCATTGTTTATTATGTTCAGTGCTTTTACCACTTCCACCATTTTTGCCATTTTCTTACAAGCTGTGTAAGGGAACAATAAGTGTCACCATATTTTAAGGTAAGTATTGTATGTGCTGTGTATTAACCCTTAAACTGTCCAAACATAGATCTACATTTGTACCACTAGCGCTCCAAACATAGTAGATCTACATTTGGACAGTTGAAGGGTTAAGCACTTAATATATTTTAGTGTAAATACAAAAATAACCCGCACATAGAAGAGAGGAGCCTACGACGACGTTTCGGTCCGACTTGGACCATTTACAAAGTCACATTAGCAAATAAGGAGAGAACGAGGGAGGTAGTAGAAAAGGAGGAAGAGAGGTAGTGGTAGAGGTGACAACAATGGCAGCAGCAGCAGTAGGAAGTCAAATACTAAGAAAGGAGCACTGCAAGGGAGCTAGGGGCCCCAGAAAGGGTAGGTTTTCTTTCTTCTGCCTTGGGTATTTGTCCTTTATTATTTATTTTCCCCCCCGTCTGAGTTCTTGTTCCTACCCTTTGTGGGCCCCTAGCTTCCTTGCAGTGCTCCTTTCTTAGTATTTGACTGACTCCACTACTACTACCTCTACCACTCTTCCTCCTTTCCTACTACCTCTTGTCCTGTCCCTGTCTGCTGGCCTATGTACACTCCCTCGTTTTCTCCTTTTTTGTTAGTGTGACTTTGTAAATCGCCCAAGTTGGACCGAAACATTGTTGTAGACTCCTCTTTTACATGTGCAGGTTATGTGTGTTGCTCCAGTCATGGTATTGCACCTTTTTTTTGTTATTTATAGTGTAAATGTTACCAGGCATTTTAAACACATGATTATGGAAAACTGCTCTTTTCCATCCACCGGTGATTCCTGATTATCATTTGGGGTCGCAAACCTTAGGGGGCTTTACGAACAGGGCCCACATGCGTACAATATTTATGTGCAAGATACAGTAATGTCAATTCTTTATAAGGAATATATTTGTAATGATGATTTAAAATGAAAATGTAAACATTACTCAATGAATCACAATTTTGCTTAAAGGTATAAACCAAAAGCACTACACACATTTGCTGGCGAGAGCTTCAGTGGATACATCAGTGTCTGTCATTGACTCCATCACTCACTTCTTACGTACTCGTCCTCACTCAGCCTACCGTACAACACAATGCTGAAAGTAAAGGACATTAGAATAACAATAAAGCAGCACTGCAGTAAGCATACTGACCCATGTTAAGCAGTCAGGAAAAATCTCACTATGTACAAGGACACCATTATTTCTAGCAGCTGTTTTGAGACTAAAGAAATGAAAATTGACATTTTCCTAATTTAGGACTGCCAGAAGAAACATATGGATTAATTTACATTATATATACAGATTGGAGAGCAAGAGTATAGAGGAAATGAATGTGTTCAGATATTTGGGGGGCTATGAAAGACGAGGTGAATGATAGAACTGACAAGGAAAAAAAAAGCCGAGTGGTACACTTAAGGTTCCGCGAGAGGTCACTACGGGTCCAGAGATAGTGATAAACAGGCTACTCATGTGAATGCCTTTTAGAGTCATTTCTGTGTTTAATTTTATACAGCCTCTCCTCACTTAACAACAAGGTTCCGTTTCTAAGAATAGGTCAGTAAGCGAACTGATCATTAAGCAAGGAGTATACTATATTAGTGGGTTTGTATCAATCATCTTTAGATACTTTTTTTTAATGTCACCTTTGCACCAATCATAACATTTCTAGTACTTTTTAAATGTCTACACAGTGTACTGTATACTGTTGATAAATTAGACACATGTGCAACACTTGAGTATCTTTAATGAAGAAACGTTTCACCACAGTGGCTTCATCAGTCCATACAAAGGAGAATCGTGAAGAACAGGAGGAGTATGAGGTAATCAGTCCCTCAGCCTTGAGGCTATGTAATCAGTCCATCAATCTTTAAAAGATTGATGGGCTGATTACATCAACTCAAAGCTGAGGGACCGATTACCTCGTACTCCTCCTGTTCTTCACGATTCTCCTTTGTATGGACTGATGAAGCCACTGTGGTGAAACGTTTCTTCATTAAAGATACCCAAGTGTTGCACATGTGTCTAATTTATCAACTTGTAAGTTCTCTGAACCATTCATCTACAATACTGTATACTGTAATAAACAATAGAATTAGTGGCCCACTGACCATTAAAGGCTTTCACATTACGTATTAGTATCTGCTTTCATTCTGTTTGTGTGTGTTATATATGATACTGTTTTTTCTTTTTTGTTTACAGATATGGTTAATTTTTTTGTGCGAATGAAAGCCTTCGTACGAGGTCTCTTTAACAATCAATTTGATTTCATTTATATTAATGTTGGTAGAATTATTGACAATATGTTAGATAAGAGGACACTAGTGTAACTAATGTGACATTTTATTGTGGCAACATTTTGCTCTCCAGGAGCTTTGTAACGGCTTCACAAAGCTCCTGGAGAGCGAGACATTGCCACAATAAAATGTCATGTTAGTTGCACTTGTGTCCTTTTACCTAACAATTTGATTTCATTTTTTTTTATTTTTTGCACTGTCAAACTTGAGAAAAACTTAGTTATTTTTGCTTAAACCAGTTATCAAAAAAAAAAAATTATAGTATTTTCTTCATGAACTTTAAGTTTATAAAAGAAAGATATTAATAGTGATACATACACAATAATTTTTATGTAGGGGTTTCCTGAGACATGAAAATTATTTCTAGGGCTCCAGAAGGGTAAAAAAAGGTTGAGAAACACTGGCCTACGAGTCCAGGAAGAGTTTCATAGAACGGTTTATATTAGTTCTGACTGTCCTGTCGTAAGTGAATATTTTGGTAGGTTGGTAGATATCAACCTCCAAGGGAGGTAGTACCATCCTGCCAAATGAGTGTGAAAGGGAAACTAGTAATTGTTTTACACAATGGTAGGATTGCTAGTATCCGTTTCATACACATGCAAGTTAACAGGTATACATCTTGCTACTTCAACTTACATTTAGGCCACACTACATATGCATGCACAAGTACAGTGGAACCCTGGATTTTGTACTTAATCCATTCCAGAAGGTCGATCTAAATCCGAAACGTACGAAAACCGAAGTAATATTTCTCATAAGAAATGTAAATACCAATTAATCCGTTTCAGACACCCAAAAATATTAAAAAACACATTTTTTAAAGAATATCTATAGTTTTACATATATAAAAAATGAGAAATAAATATAAATGACTAATTTTAGTGATAAATGAACATTACATACCTTTATTGAAGACTTGTCGGCATACTAAAGAAAGCAAGGTGGGGAGAGGGAGCTAAGTTATTGTTTGGAAGGGAAATCCCCCTCCATAAGGACTTCAGGTATCAAAGCCCTCTCTGGGGCTTTGATATCATTGTGGCTTATTTTGCAGTCGCAATCAATAAACAAGCACAAAAACTGCAAAATGTTTCAGATGAATGCTCACTCAACCAGTGACAGAGCCAGATTGAGACATGTATGCATGAGAGTGACACATCCAGGGCAGGCGGACGCGTCTGATACATACGATTTCTGGATGGAGGTACGAAATCTGGACCAAAATTTTGCCCAAAAATGTGTTCTAAATCCGAAGTGTATGATATTCGGACCGTACAAAAACCGGAGTTCCATTGTATACATAAATACATCCATACGAGTTTTTTTGTTTCCCCAGATAATTCTTGTTCTCATTTTATTTTCACTTCCTGGGAGAGTGGAAAAGAATCCTTCGTCTGCAAGCCATGCATTTCGTAAAAGACGAGTTAGAGCTAAGAAAGGAGTAGCAATAAATAACAAAAAGGCACAATACCGTGACTGGAACGATACACAAATAACCCGCACATAAAAGACAGAAACTTACGACGACGTTTCGGTCCGACTTGGACCAGTTATGGCAAAAAAAGAGGGAATATAAATGTATATCTTCTTTTATTGTAACTGCTTTTACATAGTTAAAATACTTCCTTGTTTTTAACATTTAAATATAAATAATTATCACAAGGACCCCAACAGAAATATATCATTGACTTTTTTGGGTTATCCTAGGTTCTCTACACATAAGCTGCTATGTATGATAACCAATGTGACTATTTGTGTACCAATGTGACTATTTGTGTATACTTTAATAAACTTACATACTTAGCCATCACAATATAGGGCGGGTTCTGGGTATTTTGGATGACTGGTGGTAGAAAAATCAGTCATGCAAAATAGCTCAGAACTGCTCACAATATATGTTATGTCTAAACAATATACACCTATATATGATAAAATCTGTTTGAATTTCATTCAACAGGCACTGTATGATCCCTGAGGGTTTAGTGCTCGCCACTAATCACTGTTTCCTGTGTAAAGTTCTGCAAGGCTGAGGAACTGATTACCTCATCTTTCACTCCCATAAGATAAGATTTCGTTTGGATTTTTAACCCTGGAAGGTTAGCCACCCATGATAACCCAAGAAAGTCAGTGCGTTGTTGAGGACTGTAACTTATTTCCATTGGGGTCCTCAAATCGTGTCCCCCAGGATGCGACCCACACCAGTCGACTAACACCCAGGTACCTATTTGCTGCTAGGTGAACAGGACAACAGGTTTAAGGAAACGTGTCGAAATGTTTCCGCCCACTGGGAATCGAACCAGGACCCTCCACGTGTGAAGCGGGAGCTTTAGCCACCAGGCCATAACTCAGTTGGTAGCACACTCAGCTCACACTGAGGTCCGTGGTTCAATCCCTGGTACGGGTGGTAATACTTGGGAGTGTTTAATTAAGAAACCTGCTGTCCCTGTTCACCTAGCAGTAAGTAAGTACCTGGATATAAGTTAACTAGCGTGGGTTGCACCCTGGGGAAAAAATTAACCTAATTTACCTGAAATGCTCGGCATAACTAAAGGTTTTCTACGTAGTATATCACTGACGACAACTATGGTCTGTATAAGATGTACCATTTACTTGTGGAAATTAAGATTACTACTATTATTTTTATTAAACAAAAACACTAGCTGGCGAAATGTCAAATAAAGATACCCAAATATTGCATATACCCAAGTGTTGCACATACCAAGGTGTTGATATACCCAAGTGTTGCACATACCAAGGTGTTGATATACCCAAGTGTTGCACATACCAAGGTGTTGATATACCCAAGTGTTGCACATACCAAGGTGTTGATTATACCAAGTGTTGCACATACCAAGGTGTTGATATATCCAAGTGTTGCACATACCAAGGTGTTGATATACCCAAGTGTTGCACATACCAAGGTGTTGATATATCCAAGTGTTGCACATACCAAGGTGTTGATATACCCAAGTGTTTTCACATACCAAGGTGTTGATATACCAAGTGTTGCACATACCCAAGGTGTTGATATACCCAAGTGTTGCACATACCAAGGTGTTGATATACCCAAGTGTTGCACATACCAAGGTGTTGATATATCCAAGTGTTGCACATACCAAGGTGTTGATATACCCAAGTGTTGCACATACCAAGGTGTTGATATATCCAAGTGTTGCACATACCAAGGTGTTGATATACCCAAGTGTTGCACATACCAAGGTGTTGATATACCCAAGTGTTGCACATACCCATGTACGGGATATATCCAGGTGGGAATCTTACTTACAGGTGTCAGTAGCTTGACGCTAACAATATACAACAAGATTTTTAAAATATTTTAAGTGTGCATAATGTCTTGAAAATAAAAAATTTGAATTTGAGAGAGAAGTCTTTGTTGGGTTTATCAGGGCCACTGACAGCATCAGCCGGAGTATCGAACCCGACTTCCCGATTTTACGAGGAATATTTGTAACCCAAAGCTGGTCGATGAGAGAAAAGGAACAAATGTTCCTTTGCAAATAAAGATAGTAGCTTTAAGTTTCTAATTAGATCCGGTGGACGCCCTTGCCAAGCCCCGGCAGAGAGGGACGCCCACACATTACTAAGTACAGTAACCGGCTTCCCACCAAAAACCGTTAGAGAATTTTCGGCGGAGCGGAAAAAATGGAACTGGTTAAAAGTAAACCAATGAACAGGTGCCCCTCCTGTAGTGCCCGGCGGGCAAAATAGGTGAGGACAAGCGTCCCAGAGAGAACGGAGGAAATTTATCACCGATGCTCAGGCAGGAGAGAGAGAGAGAGAGAGAGAGAGACGTCCACACCTAACAAAGGCTGACTCAGAAGTCCGATAGAGAAGTCAGTGACCCACCACGTGTGTTGTGGGTTTATGTTATTATTATTATTATTATAATCATGGGAGAGCGCTAAACCTGTAGGATTATACAGCGCATGTGGGGGGATGGAAGGTATTCAGGCTCAATTCAGGGAACTGGAGCACAGATCCAATTCCCTAGATCAAGAGCCCCTCACCAGCATCAAGGAACCTCACCAATGGAAATAAGTCACTCTGTCTGACTTTTTTGGGTTATCCTAGGTTCTCTACACATATGCTGCTATGTATGATAATCTATGTAACTGTATTTGTGTACCTGAATAAACTTACTTACTTGAGGGGTGTGGGTTTATAGAGTCAGGGGGAAAAGTTCATCACCTTTGTAACTTGCTCAGCTATCTTAACTTTGGGGTCCAGTTCCTGGACCCATTATGTACCTCTGTAATCTTTTGACTACCACCCACAGGATGGGTATGGGGTGAATAATAAAGATATTAAACAACTAACGGGGGTAAAAATTTCAGAAATCTACTCTGAAATTAAGAAGCTAACATTGTACTTGGTATTAGAATGTTAAGAAATGAACCAGACACTGTCACAATGAATCTTACTAAATGTCTAGAAGCAAATACACACAGATCTAAATGGAATGTAAAAACGTGCAATTAAATTAAGTAACACGTTCATTGTGTTTTGCTTGTGAGGACATAATTGTTTTTGTATGTGAAATATCTGACACTGTATACTTTTATTATTTATTGTAATGTGTGTTTTAAATAAAGTATAAAAAAAGTTACATTAAGTTTTATAACCTGCATGAACTGTGGAAAATTGCTTTTATCTGAATGTAACTAATTATGTACATAACAGTAAATGATAACAAAGATAATTATTATTTATCAATGTTACATAGATAAGTAGGAATTTGGGACACCTAGGTCGCAAAAAATGTCCCCCTTCGATACCTACCACTGTCATATCCACAAGTTGCTCTGGACCTATTAATTAAATGAAATATACATACACCAGGAATACTGGTAAATATATAAATTTGTGTACTGTATATTAAAAATAATAAATGGTACATATACACAATTACATAACAGAAGGAAAATATATCTTAGTATCACTCACCAGTTTGACTGGAGATTAATGTGTATCATACTCAGAAAACCTCACTCTAACTAAATCTATGAAAATAATCCTGGCCAAATCTAGAGACAAATCTAGAGAGCTTATCTGAGGTTCCTGGAGCTGTCTTGTCCAGTCGTCTGATATCTCAAGTTATGCAGGAATGCACATCCACCAATTTCGCCTCCTATTTGAGAGGTGTCAACACAATTTTAACCTCTAGAGCACTAAAAATTCTTCCCATTACACCCACGTTTGTACAAAATTCAAAACCAAGATGGCGAGTCTCGTCTGCGCAGACGCAGGCTTTCCGTTTTCTATGACATAAATATTATTAAATACAGTATGGCCATCTATTTACATATAAATACTGAATTTCTGGAAAATATATACAGTATTTTCCACATGAACTGTATCACTGTAGACAACAAGAGCATTTCACTCCTCCATGAAAGATGTGTTCATTTAATATCACAAACCTGCAAGTCCCTCCCAAGAAGCTCATTACTAGTAACACCTTCCTTAAATCACTTGTTAAAGCAACTGCTCAAAAAGAAAATTCTGGCCTAGCTGGTATTAATAAGTTATCACAAGGAGCTGAGTCTCGACCCCTGCAACCACAATTAGGGGGTACTGAGGGGATCTAAACAGGAGTCTTCGGGAAGGGCTGCTTTCGGTCTTGTTACCCCCTTTCCTATTTTAAAAAAAACGAAAAAAAACAAATTTGGTTTGAAAAAGGGTAAAAATTTAAACAACTGGGCGTCTACATTGCAAACTAAATTGTTTGCAATCCAAATTTGGCGCTAAAGGAAAACCTATGCACTGAGTTGGGAATTATCATCTTAAAATTCCCTAGTCATCACGAAGGCTCTTGACTCATAAAATTTGACTCCAACAACAGCCATTGGAAAAACCAGGTATACCCCCAAAAACCCGGGACAAAAAAACTAATTTTAAAATTTGCTTGGATCCCTTCAACATTGGATTACCCCTTTTCCTTTTTTTAAAAAAATTGATAGTTAGCCAAAAAGGTCCCCAGAGGGAGAATGTAGAATATAACTTTGGAAAATTTCTGTGTCTAGCTTTAGGAAAAATACTGGGAGAGAAGTAAATAAAAAAAATGAATGTTATGGAAGGGCAATAAAAAGCCGGGAAAAATCTGAAAACCCACTGTGTTTAACATGAACGTAGAAAGGGTTTTTTTAAATGTACCGTTATGTTTTTTATAGGGTTTTTGTTATGTAAAATCTTAAACTTGTCAAAAAACCTATACCAGACCCTAGTGAAATTTTGAAATCCAAATTTCAAATTGTTTTTTTATATTATAAGTTTTTTTAATTATAATTCCTACCATCTCCCCTTTTAACTTTGCTTACCATTATTTAAATTTTTAGCCCCTTATATTTTTTTCTCCTTTTTTTTTGCTTTTATAACTACCCTGTTTATATTTTTCACAATTTTTTAAAAAAACCCAAGGGGCTTTTCTTAGGGGCTAAATAGAATAATTCACATTTTGCCTTTTATTTTCCCCAAAGCTCAATTTTTTGATTCCCACTTATTGGTCCCAAAACCTAAAAATTAGCCCCTTTTTTTAAAATTATAATTTTATATTATAATTTAATTTTAAAAAAATTTACCTTTTTTGTACTCCCTTTACTTATTTCCCCAAGCCCCCACTATTTGATCATCCCCTTTATTTGTTTTTGCCCCCTTAGCTCATTTTTTTACATTTTTTAAAAATTAATCCGGGTTTTGTTTATTTTTTAGTTTAAGACTTTTTAAATTTTTTTTATATTTTAATTAAAAAACTATAGTTCACTCCCCAAATCTTATGATTACAAGCTTTTGATCCTGATCCCCCAACCTTTTTTTTTAATAAACTTAAATGAACAAACAGAAAACTGTAATTACTAAACTGCAGAACAATCAAAGGCATTTCCCTCAGTCCCAAAACAACAACATAACTATTTTTAAAACTAAAAATATCAGATTTTTAAGCAACCCATTACAAAGGCCTCATAGCATTACAAAATTTCCTTACATGCCAATTTTGCCCTTTTTTTAAACACAAACTAAAAACCTTTGGCTTAAAGCCTGATAGTACAGATGCCCTATGCCATTCCTGGTTACACACCATACCCCAACTGTGGGGCCAGATCAACAAGGGGGTGGCACAGCCATTTTACTACTCAGCCCAACTAGAATGTATACTAAAAATTGCACAAGGGAAAAAACAGGGGAAATATATAATGCAAAATTTTTCAAATCAAAGTACCTACAAAAACCCTTTCATTATAAAATTCCCCAGATTTTCCCACATTTCAAACATTGGGCCAAATTTAGTCAAAATCTGGGGAAGTTGATAATTATGCACGCATGAACAAAGATCACTACTACCTCATTGACTTCAAAAAAACCCCTGCAAGACCAGGACCCACAGGGTTACGGAATTTCAAAAACAATGAGAAACAAAAATTGTTACTACCAAAAAAAAAACAAAACCCTACAAGATTTTCCCGGGTAATAGTTTTTTCCCTACTTGCCAAATTTTGGACCAACACCTTTCCCCCTTTAAAATCAGGCCATAATTACAGAAAATTACCAAAAGACCACACCCTATTTTCCTCATAAAAACCCTCTTGGAAAACTACCCAAGGACACTACTAAAGTCCCCCTTCAGACTTCCCCAATAAAGGCAGCCTTTAATAATTCACAACGCAATGCAAACTTTTAAATTGGAAATGACTAGAAACCTATACAGATATTGACAAAATGTTTTAAAAATTTTTAAAAAAAAAAACCCAAATTTACCTCTATAAAAAAGCACTGCCCTAAAAAACTAACAGATACAGCAAAGAGACTGAAAAGTCCCGGCTAACACCCGCATCCCCCAAATCCAAAAATAAAAACCCCAAAATATGAAAAACAGAACAAATGGGTCACATAACCAGGCCAAAAAAACTTTAAATTTGTCAATCAAAACCCCCCGGATAAAAGGGAAAAAAAAAATTGTATTATGGAACAGATTATCCAATTTTACAGGTGATTTTAAAAAAAACCTGGAAAACCCATCAGAAATTTGGGAAACCCAAAAAAGATATCACAAAATGGCGAAAAAAAATTACAAAAACAGTTTAACCCCAACTCCCAACCAAACAAAATAGCAAACAGACTCAAGGGTTTTCCCTTCTCCACAAAAGGGGGAAAAAACCTTGCCAAAAAAAATCTCAAGCTCAGTTTACCCCAAAAATTTTACAACCTCCCGGGCCCCCAATACCCGAACAAAACTTTTCCCTAGCTCCGATAACCCATACAAAGGGTCTCCCTTTTTATAAACGCACTAAAAAAAAAGGCGGGAGATTTAAAAAAACCCTTCCACCCCTTTTTATAAAAAAAAAGGGGTCACAAGTGCTATCACCTTTCTTTTGCAACACTCTTTAACAAACCCCTTGAATCCCCCCACCTTCCCTA